GCGGCGAACCTGATTGCCAAAGGCACGCCCACCAAGGGTTCCGCCAGCACAGATGCACCTCGGTCTCCGGCTGTGATGGTGGCATGTGCTTGGGTGAGACGGTGACTGAGTCAAGGACTGAACTTGGTCAACTAGATCAAACTAGGCGCAAATTATAGAGAGAGAGAGAGAGGTGTGTACTGTAAATTAATGGATAAACATGGTCAGTCAATGGATCTGATCCACTGCTTTTGGTGGTTAGATGTTATAGTATGTTACAGTGTTGCTGAAAGGGTGGGTTGCAGGTCACTCATGAATCAACGTCAGATGCCACTGAGATCCCCAATGCAAAGCCACGCCTTGAAATCACCGCGCATTGCTGGATTTAACACATTTTACTATAGGGATACCACTGCTATATTGTATATAGTATACCACTATAGTATAGTGTTTTATAGGATATACCACTATACTGAATTTCCCTATATATACCACTATTATGTGTTGAACATGTAGGGAATTCCGGACTTCCATGTTTTTTTTTTGAGTGGGTTTCTGCCAAGGACAAGCTGAAGCTCTACGGCTTGTACAAGCAGGCGGGGATGGCCACATCGATCTACCCTTCTTCTGCCATGTTTATGTTCATGAGGAATGATGATGGTAGAATGGCTATTATTGAGGAGAGAAGGCAATGCTTGTTGGTATTTTTCTGACAGCTGATGACAGCAGATCAACTCGTTGAAATCGCCATCTTTTCAGAGTCCTTTTCGGTTCAGTCCCATCAGATCCTATACCGGAGCGTCGCTCCTAAACAAGGCTGAGCCCATGGGCAATGCCGTGGGTTTTGGGAATGTGGAATCCTTGGGCAATGTCGCCGTGGAGAGGGAAAACTTTTGCCAGCGAATGGGCAATTCCCTGTGCGGAGTTTGCTTTGGGATTTTGCTCTTCCTGGGATCCATCTTCCTACTGGGCTGGAATGAGTTCAACTATGTCCGCAACCAGGCCATCTTGCTGAAGGTGGACAAGGAAGTGATTGAAGCTGGATGCGTCCCCAGTGCTTCCAATGTTGGGAAACCCATTTGGGCCTCATGCGTTGTCCAACGTGGCTATGACTTCACTACAGACCCTCAGGTGCAGAGCATGGGCTTGTCATTCTCAGGGGAAGTCCGGGGCGCCTGGTTCAAGGCGGACTCTACCATCCTGCAGTGGACCGAGGACAAGAGTTGCAGCAGTCAGCGGCTGCCAGAGGAGTGGCTCGCAGATTCAGAACTCTGGAACCATTCCAACTTCGCTTCAACAGACCTTGAACGCTCCAGATGGCACAGTGGGAATGGGTTCATCCACAGACTCCCTCTACTTTCTGGACAACAAGGAGATGGGTGTCTTTCCATCGGTGCCAGTGACCGTTCCTTCAGGCCAGAGGACCAGTTTGCTGCCCAACAAGCAGCTGGTGCAGGTGGACGCCGAAGCAGTTCAGTTCGGTCCCAGGACAGAACTCCATTGGCGACGTCCGGACCACCTTCACCCAGTCCCAGGTCCAGTTTGGCCTGACGCAGGTAGCCATCATCGCCAAGCAGGCTGCCATGTCAACCAGCAATGCTCAGATGAGACCCTGGGACACCCAGTTGCCTGGTACCATGTCCTTGGTAGATTGGGCCTCAATGGGTGGCTTATCCAAATCGGACATGATCAACGAGAAGCAAAGTGAGAATGGTGCTATGGTCATTGCTTTGCGGTTCGTAGGCTTCATCTTGATGTGGTTGGGCCTCCAACTTGTCACAGGGCCCATTGCACTGATGCCACAGATCGTTCCTTGTTGCGGCGAGATGATCGGAGAGATGGTTGGATGTGCTTTGTGTTGCATGAACTGCTTGATTTCGTTGGCCCTCTCATTGACTGTCATTGGTGTTGCTTGGTTGATGGCCAGGCCCATCCTTGGCATTGGGCTGTTGCTGGTTGCAGCTGCAGCCGTTTGTGGTGCCGGGGTGCTACGCAACAAGTTCCGCAAGAACGCCCGAGAGCCTAGCATGTCGCAGCCCTTCATGGCACCGCAGATCAACATGGCACCAGCACCTCAGCAGCACGTGCAGGTGGTGTGTCCTCAAAATGCCGTGCCTGGACAAATGCTCATGGTGCAATGCCCAGATGGACTTCAACGACAAGTTCAGGTACCACAAGGGGTGTTTCCTGGACAGACCTTCCAAGTGATCATTTGAAACTTAAACGCGGCGCTGTTTCACCCAGTACAGACGAGATTGATCGAGATTGTTGAGTCAAGTTGGCAGCCGCTTGCGAAAAAGCGGATTCACGCATATGCTTGCTCTTACTTGTAACAGCATTTCAAAGAAAGTCGCACTTGCATTGAAAATGGACATGGCCGTTCTGGCCGTTCAGAGATACACATAGATGATGCTTTGCACGATCCGTGATGCCACAGGCCAAAGAAGGCGACAACACCACATCTCAGCCATGGTCCGTCCAGTGGGAAACCAAAGCCAAATGGGAGGCACAGCTAGGGACTGCCTACTCGGGATCCCTGTGTGGGATGGGGATGGTTAGTGACAGTTGGTGACAGTTGGTGTCATGTTTGGAGTTTTTGAACGTTGTAGAGTTTTGAAACCAAGTCTGGTTGCTGCTTTGAACAATGTTCAACTACGTTACGTTGATCTATTATCATGAGTAAAACATGGCAAAACAATAGTAAACCACCCATTTGGGCATGTTTTTTTACCACCTATGGATGGTTTATGACATCGTTTTGCCAACATTTGTTTAAGTATTTCCCATCCCTGCTATGATGATCCTCCAGGCATGGGAGAAGTGCAAAGGAAAGTCGAAGGAAACGGCTAGAATCCCAGATTCAGAGTGGCTGATGATTGATGGATATTGATGGATATTGATGGATGTTGATGGATATTGATGGATATTGATGGATATTGATGGATATTGATGGATATTGATGGATATTGATGGATATTGATGGATGTTGATGGATGTTGATGGATGTTGATGGATATTGATGGATATTGATGGATGTTGATGGATGTTGATGGATATTGATGGATATTGACAATGATATTGATGCTATTATTATGAATTATTGATAATTATTGATGGTTAATGGTGGTTCATAATGAATTATAAATGATTATAGTGGCTTTTACTGGTGGATAGTATTGATAGTGGTTAAACATGATTAATAGTACAGCCCGCGCTGGTGAAGAATCCGAAAGCTTGAGGTCCAGGGTCCCTCAAATTCTCATTTTTAAATACAGGCAAATTTACACTACAACAGGCCGAGGGTCCCTCAAATTCTTAAGGTATTCTTAGTATTGTATTGCAGGCATCTGCACAATTTGGAGCAAGATTAAACAAGGTACTAGTAACGAGGTGGAGTTGGCAGATTTGACTATTCATGCGAAACTATATGGCTATTAATCGTCAATAATTATCAACAATTCCTTCCCCATCATGTTAAACATTCCCTGCAAACCATAGTTTGGTAGGGGATGGAACCACATGGCTGCGGCTCAAAATGTAAGGTTCTGATCCATACCCCGGTACCACATGCGATCCATACCCCATGATCCATACCAAAACGCAGGTGATCCAGACCGATCCATACGTCCGGATCACCCGCGGAACGATCCATACCCGTTTTTTTGAGCCATACCCACATATTGGGACCATTGGTGTTTAATATTAGGGGAATGGGATTAATATTGGATTTTCTGTTGGGTTTTTTCGCGAGACTAGGGCGCCGTCCGGAGAAATACCAAAACCCACTCACTTCCACTGTTTTCATTACAAACCGGTGTTTTTTCTTCTTGCAAGGTCATCTTGGCCCATGGTATTGACATGGCCCTGCTTTAACCCTCACAATCCATGCGCTCAAAATTATGGGGGGTCCAGCCTGCCCAGCCGACTAAAAGGAGCCCTGGGGAAAGCAGTATGCCCTGGATAATCCGGGTCTCTTTCTCCACTGTAACCTATACCTACCTCCTGTGAGCCCTTGTGAAAGCATTTTGGATGAAATAGATCTTTGGCCTGCTGCAGACCTCGTCATAGGGGAAGTGGTTCTCAAACATACTGATACTTCTGAAATTGTGGAGCGTAGCAGCAATTTCAGGAGTCGAGCTGAGTCTAGCTGTTGGTTTTTCAATGATGGATGATTGGGGACACGTTGCAAACAAGCTTGTCTACTCGCTGCTGCCGATTACCGACATGTTTTTCCCAAACGATGAATCATACAGTCTGATTCATAGAATGCGGCTATGAGTCAGTCTCAGTCTGAGGGAGCAACGATGAACCTTAGACCGAACTTAGACCCTAGAATTTTACCAGGATTCTAGTGCAATCAGAACACAAAGTTCCATTGACTATTCCAAGTAACTGACTGTTTTTTGACGTTTTCAAATTTTCAAATCAGCTTCAACATTCCCAATGAGGTTCACGCAGTTCAGAGCCTTCTTAGCAGTAACCACCTCGCTCGCTCACCATGACCATATGTCTACAGGGTTGGTCCACAATACCCTTATATAACCAGTTTAAACCCTATATGTTGTGTCACTGCTGAAGCGTTCCCTCGCTTGTCGCTCATGGGTATTTTGTCGGCGCGGAAAGAGCTGGAAAAGCTTTATTCTTTGGTTACGACACATGGAAGCACTGCAGAGGCGGGTTTTGGCAGTTCCGCATCAGATTCTCAGATACTTTGATATGGTCAAGCGGTCAAGATGTTCAAGTCATCAGGGTACGTATTTGGACACACGGCTATTTCGGGGTTGAGAAATTGAGAGCTTTCAGACCAGCCATGTCTTGGTGGTTTGAGCATCTGTTTTCAAGCATGGGATGATGTGATGCTCCCTAATTTCACACAAAGTTTTACTGGTGCGTAGGTGTGGGAATTAGAGGATTACACATAATGAAACATGTATACCGGCTTGTGACGGCTTGTGGTTTGGATTTTTTCCATCAGATATTGGGGATGATGATCATCCCATTCCCATTTAACTATAATACTGTTGAGATGGGATGAAACCACCCACCAACCAGATTTGTTATCATACCCTGCAATTTAACCATTCCCTTGAGTGTTTCTTCAAGAGAGCTGGTGATGAGTGATGAGTGATGAGTCATGAATCTGAGTGCGCTGCACAGGTGGCTGCGTATGCAAATGCGATCGTCGGCCTGGATACTTTGGCTGGCAAAGGCAGCCAGTTGATCCTTGGCAGATTCATGGAAGGTTATGGTGGTTATGGGCCAGTGGCCAGTGATGTTTTGGGACTTTAAATGAGCCTATGATAGCAATGGTTCAATGATCAATGATATATACGTACAAGTACAAGGCTACAGTTAGGGCCTGGAGCCCCGACCAGGGTTACCGTGCTTTATCAAAACTCAGTTTCAGTTTTGCTGCAGGAATTCATTTGCCAAAAATTGCCGGGCATTTAGTCACCCAGTGTTTCTGGCCGCATTCTTTCAAACAGACCGAAGTTCGAAGCTGAAGATCTCATTTTATTTCCCCTGTTTTTTTCTTGTAAGCGTTACTCCGCAATTCATCAAGTCATTGTCCCAGGTCCCAGAGGAAGGGCATAGGTATAGGGCTGTTTGGACTTGGACCTCCCAAATACCACCAAACCCCAAAAGCGAATGTCAAATTTGTTCTGTTAGTGGCCCACTTGATGAGTGATGAATCACAAATGCAAAGTTCTCAGATTGGGGCTCAGACTTCTGTCCTATTTGTTTCAATGTTTCAAGTTTCAGGATCTTTGACCTCAAGCTTGGCTTGCGGCTGAAACTGTCCAGCCATTTCCTTTCACAAAAAAAATCACAGAGATGATCACATCACACTGATCATCACACATCACACAGCCTGCCTTTTCCTCAAAGATTTAGAGACTCAGAGACTCAGAGACAGTGCCAGAGACATAGTGACAGAGACTGAGACTGATTATTTTTTGGGGGTTCTGTGACTTCTGTGAAGTTCTGTCAGAGTTTCTATCTGCTTTTGTCGCAAGACTAGGCTTTTGCATTTGATCGACAATGACAAACCGACGACGAGATTAGATAGATGATGAGATACATGTCATGTGAGTCATGTGATGTGATATTTGAAAAACATGAATATGATGAATGAGGACGAGGACGAGGATTGAGATCGATGGGAAAGAGATAGATGAGGAGATAGATGAGGACAATGGGATTCAGGCGAGAAAAAGATAAGAAAGATGTGGTGAGATAGATGAGAAAGATGGAAAGATGAGGAGATAGATGAAATAGATGCACTGAAGGAGATATATGGTAGATGAGGTAGATGAGAACGATGAGCTAGAAGATAAGAATTGAGACCGATGAGAAATGCAATGGGATAGATTCTAGATAGATGAAAAAAGAGCTAAACGATAATGAGAATAAGAATGATGAGAACCAATGAGAATGATGAGAAAGATGTGATGTGATGTGATGAGATCAAAAGATAGATGAGATTGATGGATGTGATGAGATGAGACAGATGAGATATACGAGTTTGGGCCATGGGTGTTTGTCCAAGGATGGCCTGTGGTGCAACAGCCCGGGTGCGGATGTACGACTTTGCATCCTTGTTCAAAGCCTTCAAGTTCTCGCTGACCTTGCGGAATGAGCGAAGAGCCCTTGTTTGCATGGTGGTGGTGGTGCCTGGAATTTTGAAATTTGATGATCTGAATCTGACTATCTGACATTGAGAAACATTATTTGTGTCTTCTTGCACACCTCAAACCAATCGTGCCTTTATTTGCTGCGAATGCGCAGCTTTGTACACACGATGTCACGTTGTGCCGTCTCCTCTCACGCCCCTCCTGTCCTCCGCTGCTCCGCGTTCCTTACGGCGATGCGCTGTACAACCTTATGTGCGCACGTCTGCGTATAACCGCTTATGCTTTGCAGACTGCAGGCACTGCAGGTCGACAAAATAATCTTAGGGCCCGGGGCGGGAGACACACACACACACCAGTGTTGATGCGTTCTGTACTTGCACATCATTATTGATCATTAGTGCATCATTTCACCTTTTGAAGCAGAAATTCAAATGTATAATGCAAATCAGCAATCTCATCCAAGTGACAGATGTGGATGTGTATGGCATGGGTTGTGATATCCATGACGCTTGAAACTGCAGCGGCGGTAGGCGGTAGCACCAATAAATGATTCTAGCCAGAAGTGACAACAACTGGCCACTGGCCGATATTGCCTTAATTCGTCCTCTCTCCAGGAGACAACACTCTATCTATCTTCAATGGTTTGCCGAAGGCGCCAGAGTGACAAGAGGCAAGGATGTTGTGCGGATTATTTGACCCCATGATCATGATCAGCCAGGGCCCCTGACTCCTGACTTTACAAATTGGTGTTTTAAGTGACATGATAACTGCAAGCCAGTAATTAAGGACACTTCATGAACTTAATCAAAACTGTTGAATCGAGAGCGTTTTGAAATAGTTTTGATTTGATGTAAGAGTGACAGCAACTGGCCACTGGCCGATATTGCCTTAATTCGTCCTCTCTCCAGGAGACAACACTCTATCTATCTTCAATGGTTTGCCGAAGGCGCCAGAGTGACAAGAGGCAAGGATGTTGTGCGGATTATTTGACCCCATGATCATGATCAGCCAGGGCCCCTGACTCCTGACTTTACAAATTGGTGTTTTAAGTGACATGATAACTGCAAGCCAGTAATTAAGGACACTTCATGAACTTAATCAAAACTGTTGAATCGAGAGCGTTTTGAAATAGTTTCGATTGGATGTTACATATTGACGTGTTGTGATACATTATTGATTCACATATTTCTGGAACTGTTACCACAATCTTTGAAATCGGAATTTACTACTGGGTAGTTCTGAGTCCTCATAAGTTCTTATGATGTCAATTGCCCATACATGAGAAATGCCGAATTTTCATAGATCATTTGAATCATATGAATCATCATGTGACATTACATCAATGTATTTGCAGACATTAAGTGAATGGTGAGCCGATGAGTGTTGTATTTTTTCTATTTGTATTACGGCATGTTTGTGCAGGGAATTCATCATAGTCAGAGGAGATTCGTACATATATTTGCAAGATTCCATCAAACATGTGAAATAGTGTATGATGTTTCAAACGGAGCTGTGAAAAACAACAAAACATCAAAGATCAAGGATGTAAAGCCATTCTTCTTGACCCAAACTGTGAAACATGTAGCAACTTTTTGCAAGCTAAAAAATGAGGAGGATCCAACGTGATTTTTTTGTAACACAGGTTTTGTGTAAGGGATTTGTCGGGATTTGTCGGGAATCTGTGCATGTTGTTTTTTCACGTTTTTGCTCGTATAATTTGGCTTGTTCTTAAGGTGAATCAACATGTTTTCCATGTTGGTTTGGGTCAATTTGACAACTTTTGATACGATTTCACCATGTTTCACTATCAAAAACAGGTGAAAGGTGAACTACACGAGCAAAAACGCAAAAAAACACTGAATTTTGTTGTGATTTGTCGTGATCTGTCGGGATTTGTCGGGATCTGTCGGGATCTGTCGGGATTTGTTGGGATTTGTCGGGCTTTCTTGTCCCCGACAAATCCCGACAGATCGCGACAAATCACAACAAAATTCAGTGTGTTTTTTGCGTTTTTAATTTTTGCTCGTGTAGTTCACCTTTCACCTGTTTTTGATAGTGAAACATGGTGAAATCGTATCAAAAGTTGTCAAATTGACCCAAACCAACATGGAAAACATGTTGATTCACCTTAAGAACAAGCCAAATTATACGAGCAAAAACGTGAAAAAACAACATGCACAGATTCCCGACAAATCCCGACAAATCCCTTACACAAAACCTGTGTAAAAAAAACAAAGCCATTTTTTCACGTTGGACCCTCCTCATTTTTTAGCTTGCAAAAAGTTGCTACATGTTTCACAGTTTGGGTCAAGAAGAATGGCTTTACATCCTTGATCTTTGATGTTTTGTTGTTTTTCACAGCTCCGTTTGAAACATCATACACTATTTCACATGTTTGATGGAATCTTGCAAATATATGTACGAATCTCCCCTGACTATGATGAATTCCCTGCACAAACATGCCGTAATACAAATAGAAAAAATACAACACTCATCGGCTCACCATTCACTTAATGTCTGCAAATACATTGATGTAATGTCACATGATGATTCATATGATTCAAATGATATGAAAATTCGGCATTTCTCATGTATGGGCAATTGACATCATAAGAACTTATGAGGACTCAGAACTACCCAGTAGTAAATTCCGATTTCAAAGATTGTGGTAACAGTTCCAGAAATTTGTGAATCAATAATGTATCACAACACGTCAATATGTAACATCCAATCGAAACTATTTCAAAACGCTCTCGATTCAACAGTTTTGATTAAGTTCATGAAGTGTCCTTAATTACTGGCTTGCAGTTATCATGTCACTTAAAACACCAATTTGTAAAGTCAGGAGTCAGGGGCCCTGGCTGATCATGATCATGGGGTCAAATAATCCGCACAACATCCTTGTCTCTTGTCACTCTGGCGCCTTCGGCAAACCATTGAAGATAGATAGCGTGTTGTCTCCTGGAGAGAGGACGAATTAAGGCAATATTATATCGGCCAGTGGCCAGTTGCTGTCACTCTTACATCAAATCAAAACTATTTCAAAACGCTCTTGATTCAACAGTTTTGATTAAGTTCATGAAGTGTCCATAATTCCTGGCTTGCAGTTCTCATGTCACTTAAAACGCCAGTTTGTAAAGTCAGGATTCAAGGGCCCTGGCTGATCATGATCATGGAGTCAAATAATCCGCACAACATCCTTGTGGCTTGTCACTCTGGCGCCTTCGGCAAACCATTGAAGATAGATAGTGTGTTGTCTCCTGGAGGGAGGACGAATTAAGGCAATATCGGCCAGTGGCCAGTTACTGTCACTTTTGGCTAGAATCATTTATTGGTGCTACCGCCTACCGCCGCTGCAGTTTCAAGCGTCATGGATATCACAACCCATGCCATACACATCCACATCTGTCACTTGGATGAGATTGCCAATTTGCATTTTACAATTATTTGAATTTCTGTGTCAAAAGGTGAAATGATGCACTAACGCTTATCACTAATGATCAATAATGATGTGCAAGTACAGAACGCATCAACACTGGTGTGTGTGTGTGTGTGGGACTCCCGCCCCGGGCCCTAAAGGATTATTTTGTCGACCTGCAGTGCCTGCAGTCTGCAAAGCATAAGCGGTTATACTCAGACGTGCGCACATAAGGTTGTACAGCGCGTCGCCGTAAGGAACGCGGAGCAGCGGAGGACAGGAGGGGCGTGAGAGGAGACGGCACAACGCGACATCGTGTGTACAAAGCTGCGCATTCGCAGCAAATAAAGACACGATTGGTTTGAGGTGTGCAAGATAATGCCTTATCCGCTGCGCAGAAAAGTGCATAATGTTTCAATGTCAGATAGTCAGATTCAGATCATCAAATTTCAAAATTCCAGGCACCACCACCACCATGCAAACAAGGGCTCTTCGAAGCGTTCCGCAAGGTCAGCGAGAACTTGAAGGCTTTGAACAAGGATGCAAAATCGTACATCCGCACCCGGGCTGTTGCACCACAGGCCGTCCTTGGACAAACACCCATGGCCCAAACTCATATTTCTCATCTATCACATCACATCACATCTTTCTCATCATTCTCATTGGTTCTCATCATTCTTATTCTCATTATTGTTTAACTCTTTTTTCTCATCTATCTAGAATCTATCCCATTGCATTTTCTCATCGGTCTCAATTCTCATCTTCTAGCTCATCGTTCTCATCTACCTCATCTATCATATATCTCTTTCAGTGCATCTATCTCATCTATCTCCTCATCTTTCCTATCTTTCTCATCTATCTCATCACATCTTTCTTATCTTTTCCTCGCCTGAATCCCATTGTCCTCATCTATCTTATCTCCTCATCTATCTCTGTCCCATCGATCTCAATCCTCGTCCTCGTCCTCATTCATCTCTTTTTTCAAATATCACATCACATGACTCACATGACATGTATCTCATCATCTACCTAATCTCGTCGTCGGTTTGTCATTGTCGATCAATGCAAAAAAAAAGCCTAGTCTTGAGACAAAAGCAGATAGAAACTCTGACAGAACTTCACAGAAGTCACAGAATCACCAAAAAATAATCAGTCTCAGTCTCTGTCACTATGTCTCTGTCACTGTCTCTGAGTCTCTGAGTCTCTAAATCTTTGAGGAAAAAGCAGGCTGTGTGATGTGTGATGATCAGTGTGATGTGATCTTCTCTGTGATTTTTTTTGTGAAAGGAAATGGTTGGACAGTTTCAGCCACAAGCCAAGCTTGAGGTCAAAGATCCTGAAACTTGAAACATTGAAACAAATAGGACAGAAGTCTGAGCCCCAATCTGAGAACTTTGCATTTGTGATTCATCACTCATCAAGTGGGCCACTAACAGAACAAATTTGACATTCGCTTTTGGGGTTTGGTGGTATTTGGGAGGTCCAAGTCCAAACAGCCCTATACCTATGCCCTTCCTCTGGGACCTGGGACAATGACTTGATGAATTGCGGAGCAACGCTTACAAGAAAAAAACAGGGGAAATAAAATGAGATCTTCAGCTTCGAACTTCGGTCTGTTTGAAAGAATGCGGCCAGAAACACTGGGTGACTAAATGCCCGGCAATTTTTGGCAAATGAATTCCTGCAGCAAAACTGAAATTGAGTTTTGATAAAGCACGGTAACCCTGGTCGGGGCTCCAGGCCCTAACTGTAGCCTTGTACTTGTACGTATATATCATTGATCATTGAACCATTGCTATCATAGGCTGATTTAAAGTCCCAAAACATCACTGGCCACTGGCCCATAACCACCATAACCTTCCATGAATCTGCCAAGGATCAACTGGCTGCCTTTGCCAGCCAAAGTATCCAGGCCGACGATCGCATTTGCATACGCAGCCACCTGTGCAGCGCACTCAGATTCATGACTCATCACTCATCACTCATCACCAGCTCTCTTGACGAAACACTCAAGGGAATGGTTGAATTGAATGGTCTGATAGTAAATCTGGTTGGTGGGACGTTTCATCCCATCTCAACAGTATTATAGTTAAATGGGAATGGGATGATCATCATCCCCAATAACTGGTGGAAAAAATCCAAACCACAAGCCGTCACAGGCCAGTATACATGTTTCATTATTGGTAACCCTCTAATTCCCACACCTACGCACCAGTAAAGCTGTGCGTGAAATTAGGGAGCATCACATCATCCCATGCTTGAAAACAGATGCTCAAACCACCAAGACATGGCTGGTCTGAAAGTTCTCAATTTCTCAACCCCGAAATAGCCGTGTGTCCAAATACGTACCCTGATGACTTGAACATCTTGACCGCTTGACCATATCAAAGTATCTGAGAATCTGATGCGGAACTGCAAAACCCCGCCTCTGCAGTGCTTCCATGTGTCGTAACCAAAGAATAAAGCTTTTCCAGCTCTTTCCGCGCCGACAAAATACCCATGAGCGACAAGCGAGGGAGCGAGCGAGGTGGTTACTGCTAAGAAGGCTCTGAACTGTGCGAACCTCATTGGGAATGTTGAAGCTGATTTTTTGAAAATTTGAAAACGTCAAAAAACAGTCAGTTGCTTGGAGTAGTCAATGGAACTTTGTGTTCTGATTGCACTAGAATCCTGGTAAAATTCTAGGGTCTAAGTTCGGTCTAAGATTCATCGTTGCTCCCTCAGACTGAGACTGACTCATAGCCGCATTCTATGAATCGGACTGTATGATTCATCGTTTGGGAAAACATGTCGGTAACCGGCAGCAGCGAGTAGACAAGCTTGTTTGCAACGTGTCCCCAATCATCGATCATTGAAAAACCAACAGCTAGACTCAGCTCGACTCCTGAAATTGCTGCTACGCTCCACAATTTCAGAAGTATCAATATGTTTGAGAACCACTTCCCCTATGACGAGGTCTGCAGCAGGCCAAAAATCTATTTCATCCAAAATGCTTGCACAAGGGCTCAAAGGAGGTAGGTATAGGTTACGGTAGAGAAAAAGACCCGGATTATCCAGGGCATACTGCCTTCCCCAGGGCTCCTTTTAGTCGGCTGGGCAGGCTGGACCCCCCATAATTTTGAGCGCATGGATTGTGAGGGTTAAAGCAGGGCCATGTCAATACCATGGGCCAAGGACCTTGCAAGAAGAAAAAACACCGGTTTGTAATGAAAACGGTGGAGGTGACTGGGTTTTGGTATTTCTCCGGACGGCGCCCTAGTCTCGCGAAAAAAACAATTTTCTGTCTTTTGCTTTTCTATCCCACCGTCCCGTTTAATCTAGTCGAGTTTTGTGTATAAAAGTCCAAATGAGAATCATAATATTTGTCATATATGTATGTTCATTTTTACTTATTGGTATGTATGTAGTTTGTGTATCTATAGTATTTGTATGTATCTGGTTAGTGTTCATCTATTTGTATTTATCAGTATGTATGTTCATTTACAGATCCGTCCTTCTATCTATCTTGCTACCTATCCTATTTGCTTTGTTTGCCTTGTGGCGACCCATCCATGTAGAGCCCACTACGAAACCCAGCATTGCTCTTGCTACCGCAAGGCCATGACTGAGTACATTGCCGAAGTCGAAGCGCAAACGGAGAAGTTCGGCATTACGCCACCATGAGGCACAGGGGGTCCACCGTGCCACCTCCAATCATGGCACCTCTAGTGACCAGATGCCAGGTCCCGCCAGGCCCAACTGTTTCATCAGATGGATGGAAGCTGCGATCTGCGTGAGGGCCCCGGCCTGCGGCCCTGCCACCCAGGCACTGGGGCAGGATTTGCACTGGAATCTAGTGACTCTAGTGGTGAGAAGGATCATGATGGCCCTTTTGGGGGCTGTCCAACGTGAATCTTTGGTTATTCACAACATGACAACATGCAGTTCAAATCAGTTCGAATCACATCAAATCTCATGGCACCTTCTCGCGCACTGGATGCTGCACATGTCCTTCTATACAGAGGAGCAGTGACAAAAAGGCTGCGCTCTGGTTGCGATGACTCATCCCTTCCAAATTACAAGTCAATACCTCCAACGTGGGCCCCGAATTCATGAACAGATCAAATACGATCAAATACTATTCTGGTAGCCCCGTTGATTTTTGCATTAGCGGTCAACTGGCAATATCTACAGAGGCTGCAGGGACATCAGTTTTTTTTCTGGCAGGACTTGATTGGAAGTGTCCCACCAGCAGTGGGGACCCATCATTGGAATGCCAATTGATGGCAAGCAGTTCCCAGAGACGCCTGATGTCACCTGTTGTTTCCTTTTTTTTTGGGCAAAGTCTCAGAGGCTTCGCTGATATAGTTTCCTATAACAATGCCGTAATGCCGTAATGCCTAACACGTTGAATCCTTAATGTTTTCCCATTATGCCATTGGGATAGAATAATTATTACCTTTATATGGCTATACTATCCCAGTATTATAGATAATTAGTCAACATTATTCAACGATACTATCTAAATGATTCCTGTCATATCCAAGACATTATTCCATAATCATGTGTAATCCCTTCCCCCCAATATCAAAATATCTCAAATACATCCTTGGCAAAGCTTCCCGTTCCCCCTGGCCGACACCTGGCCAACATCGCAGCCGGTTTCGGTTCAACTGTGAAGGGAATTTGTCGCAGGCAAAAACTTGACGACATGTCGGACAGATTCAGGGTCAGTCATATGAGGGAGTGCAAAGTGTGGTTTTCTGAAGGTCGGAGTATGTCGGAGTAGTGACTGTCAAGAATTGGTTAATGGGAACTAATCAGGGTCCAGACCATGTTGGTACCTTCCAGTAGCCGAGCACATTGGTCATGGTTCAAAGTCATTTACCAATGGTTTATGATCCCATAGGATCCATGTATGCTATATATGGTGACATTTACCATCAATATACCCCAAATGTTAGCATATATACCATACATGGATCCTATGGGGATGTCTATGTTCCTTTCATGTTAAACATTAACCATGAACCCGTCAGGTTCGGGGGGCCAGCCATCAACCTTGCCCGCCTGCGCGGGAGTGTGCAGGACTTGGAAGCGAAATTCGAGGCTGCGGCGAACCTGATTGCCAAAGGCACGCCCACCAAGGGTTCCGCCAGCACAGATGCACCTCGGTCTCCGGCTGTGATGGTGGCATGTGCTTGGGTGAGACGGTGACTGAGTCAAGGACTGAACTTGGTCAACTAGATCAAACTAGGCGTAAATTAGAGAGAGAGAGAGGTGTGTACTGTAAATTAATGGATAAACATGGTCAGTCAATGGATCTGATCCACTGCTTTTGGTGGTTAGATGTTATAGTATGTTACAGTGTTGCTGAAAGGGTGGGTTGCAGGTCACTCATGAATCAACGTCAGATGCCACTGAGATCCCCAATGCAAAGCCACGCCTTGAAATCACCGCGCATTGCTGGATTTAACACATTTTACTATAGGGATACCACTGCTATATTGTATATAGTATACCACTATAGTATAGTGTTTTATAGGATATACCACTATACTGAATTTCCCTATATATACCACTATTATGTGTTGAACATGTAGGGAATTCCGGACTTCCATGGTTTTTTTTTGAGTGGGTTTCTGCCAAGGACAAGCTGAAGCTCTACGGCTTGTACAAGCAGGCGGGGATGGCCACATCGATCTACCCTTCTTCTGCCATGTTTATGTTCATGAGGAATGATGATGGTAGAATGGCTATTATTGAGGAGAGAAGGCAATGCTTGTTGGTATTTTTCTGACAGCTGATGACAGCAGATCAACTCGTTGAAATCGCCATCTTTTCAGAGTCCTTTTCGGTTCAGTCCCATCAGATCCTATACCGGAGCGTCGCTCCTAAACAAGGCTGAGCCCATGGGCAATGCCGTGGGTTTTGGGAATGTGGAATCCTTGGGCAATGTCGCCGTGGAGAGGGAAAACTTTTGCCAGCGAATGAGCAATTTTGTGTGGGAGTTTGCTTTGGGATTTTGCTCTTCCTGGGATCCATCTTCCTACTGGGCTGGAATGAGTTCAACTATGTCCGCAACCAGGCCATCTTGCTGAAGGTGGACAAGGAAGTGATTGAAGCTGGATGCGTCCCCAGTGCTTCCAATGTTGGGAAACCCATTTGGGCCTCATGCGTTGTCCAACGTGGCTATGACTTCACTACAGACCCTCAGGTGCAGAGCATGGGCTTGTCATTCTCAGGGGAAGTCCGGGGCGCCTGGTTCAAGGCGGACTCTACCATCCTGCAGTGGACCGAGGACAAGAGTTGCAGCAGTCATTCAACTGGAGGAGGCGGCAGGGAGAAGGACTGCACCTATGACTACAACTTGGAGTGGGTCTCATCTCCTCAGTCTTCCTCCAATTTCTATTGTTACCCCAGTTGGAGACCCGGCTGCCAGAGGAGTGGCTCGCAGATTCAGAACTCTGGAACCATTCCAATTTCGCTTCAACAGACCTTGAACGCTCCAGATGGCACAGTGGGAATGGGTTCATCCACAGACTCCCTCTACTTTCTGGACAACAAGGAGATGGGTGTCTTTCCATCGGTGCCAGTGACCGTTCCTTCAGGCCAGAGGACCAGTTTGCTGCCCAACAAGCAGCTGGTGCAGGTGGACGCCACTTCGGTGCAGTTCAGTTCGGTCCCAGGACAGAACTCCATTGGCGACGTCCGGACCACCTTCACCCAGTCCCAGGTCCAGTTTGGCCTGACGCAGGTAGCCATCATCGCCAAGCAGGCTGCCATGTCAACCAGCAATGCTCAGATGAGACCCTGGGACACCCAGTTGCCTGGTACCATGTCCTTGGTAGATTGGGCCTCAATGGGTGGCTTATCCAAATCGGACATGATCAACGAGAAGCAAAGTGAGAATGGTGCTATGGTCATTGCTTTGCGCTTCGTAGGCTTCATCTTGATGTGGTTGGGCCTCCAACTTGTCACAGGGCCCATTGCACTGATGCCACAGATCGTTCCTTGTTGCGGCGAGATGATCGGAGAGATGGTTGGATGTGCTTTGTGTTGCATGAACTGCTTGATTTCGTTGGCCCTCTCTCATTGACTGTCATTGGTGTTGCTTGGTTGATGGCCAGGCCCATCCTTGGCATTGGGCTGTTGCTGGTTGCAGCTGCAGCCGTTTGTGGTGCCGGGGTGCTACGCAACAAGTTCCGCAAGAACGCCCGAGAGCCTAGCATGTCGCAGCCCTTCATGGCACCGCAGATCAACATGGCACCAGCACCTCAGCAGCACGTGCAGGTGGTGTGTCCTCAAAATGCCGTGCCTGGACAAATGCTCATGGTGCAATGCCCAGATGGACTTCAACGACAAGTTCAGGTACCACAAGGGGTGTTTCCTGGACAGACCTTCCAAGTGATCATTTGAAACTTAAACGCGGCGCTGTTTCACCCAGTACAGACGAGATTGATCGAGATTGTTGAGTCAAGTTGGCAGCCGCTTGCGAAAAAGCGGATTCACGCATATGCTTGCTCTTACTTGTAACAGCATTTCAAAGAAAGTCGCACTTGCATTGAAAATGGACATGGCCGTTCTGGCCGTTCAGAGATACACATAGATGATGCTTTGCACGATCCGTGATGCCACAGGCCAAAGAAGGCGACAACACCACATCTCAGCCATGGTCCGTCCAGTGGGAAACCAAAGCCAAATGGGAGGCACACCCAGGGACTGCCTACTCGGGATCCCTGTGTGGGATGGGGATGGTTAGTGACAGTTGGTGACAGTTGGTGTCATGTTTGGAGTTTTTGAACGTTGTAGAGTTTTGAAACCAAGTCTGGTTGCTGCTTTGAACAATGTTCAACTACGTTACGTTGATCTATTATCATGAGTAAAACATGGCAAAACAATAGTAAACCACCCATTTGGGCATGTGTTTTTACCACCTATGGATGGTTTATGACATCGTTTTGCCAACATTTGTTTAAGTATTTCCCATCCCTGCTATGATGATCCTCCAGGCATGGGAGAAGTGCAAAGGAAAGTCGAAGGAAACGGCTAGAATCCCAGATTCAGAGTGGCTGATGATTGATGGATATTGATGGATATTGATGGATGTTGATGGATATTGATGGATATTGATGGATATTGATGGATATTGATGGATATTGATGGATATTGATGGATATTGATGGATATTGATGGATATTGATGGATATTGATGGATATTGATGGATGTTGATGGATATTGACAATGATATTGATGGATATTGATGGATATTGACAATGATATTGATGCTATTATTATGAATTATTGATAATTATTGATGGTTAATGGTGGTTCATAATGGAGTATAAATGATTATAGTGGCTTTTAATGGTGGATAGTATTGATAGTGGTTAAACATGATTAATAGTACAGCCCGCGCTGGTGAAGAATCCGAAAGCTTGAGGTCCAGGGTCCCTCAAATTCTCATGTTTAAATACAGGCAAATTTACACTACAACAGGCCGAGGGTCCCTCAAATTCTTAAGGTATTCTTAGTATTGTATTGCAGGCATCTGCACAATTTGGAGGAAGATTAAACAAGGTACTAGTAACGAGGTGGAGTTGGCAGATTTGACTATTCATGCGAAACTATATGGCTATTAATCGTCAATAATTATCAACAATTCCTTCCCCATCATGTTAAACATTCCCTGCAAACCATAGTTTGGTAGGGGATGGAACCACATGGCTGCGGCTCAAAATGTAAGGTTCTGATCCATACCCCGGTACCACATGCGATCCATACCCCATGATCCATACCAAAACGCAGGTGATCCAGACCGATCCATACGTCCGGATCACCCGCGGAACGATCCATACCCGTTTTTTGAGCCATACCCACATATTGGGACCATTGGTGTTTAATATTAGGGGAATGGGATTAATATTGGATTTTCTGTCTTTTGCTTTTCTATCCCACCGTCCCGTTTAATCTAGTCGAGTTTTGTGTATAAAAGTCCAAATGAGAATCATAATATTTGTCATATATGTATGTTCATTTTTACTTATTGGTATGTATGTAGTTTGTGTATCTATAGTATTTGTATGTATCTGGTTAGTGTTCATCTATTTGTATTGATCAGTATGTATGTTCATTTACAGATCCGTCCTTCTATCATTCTATCTATCTTGCTACCTATCCTATTTGCTTTGTTTGCCTTGTGGCGACCCATCCATGTAGAGCCCACTACGAAACCCAGCATTGCTCTGCGGTAGCAAGGCCATGACTGAGTACATTGCCGAAGTCGAAGCGCAAACGGAGAAGTTCGGCATTACGCCACCATGAGGCACAGGGGGTCCACCGTGCCACCTCCAATCATGGCACCTCTAGTGACCAGATGCCAGGTCCCGCCAGGCCCAACTGTTTCATCAGATGGATGGAAGCTGCGATCTGCGTGAGGGCCCCGGCCTGCGGCCCTGCCACCCAGGCACTGGGGCAGGATTTGCACTGGAATCTAGTGACTCTAGTGGTGAGAAGGATCATGATGGCCCTTTTGGGGGCTGTCCAACGTGAATCTTTGGTTATTCACAACATGACAACATGCAGTTCAAATCAGTTCGAATCACATCAAATCTCATGGCACCTTCTCGCGCACTGGATGCTGCACATGTCCTTCTATACAGAGGAGCAGTGACAAAAAGGCTGCGCTCTGGTTGCGATGACTCATCCCTTCCAAATTACAAGTCAATACCTCCAACGTGGGCCCCGAATTCATGAACAGATCAAATACGATCAAATACTATTCTGGTAGCCCCGTTGATTTTTGCATTAGCGGTCAACTGGCAATATCTACAGAGGCTGCAGGGACATCAGTTTTTTTTCTGGCAGGACTTGATTGGAAGTGTCCCACCAGCAGTGGGGACCCATCATTGGAATGCCAATTGATGGCAAGCAGTTCCCAGAGACGCCTGATGTCACCTGTTGTTTCCTTTTTTTTTGGGGGCAAAGTCTCAGAGGCTTCGCTGATATAGTTTCCTATAACAATGCCGTAATGCCGTAATGCCTAACACGTTGAATCCTTAATGTTTTCCCATTATGCCATTGGGATAGAATAATTATTACCTTTATATGGCTATACTATCCCAGTATTATAGATAATTAGTCAACATTATTCAACGATACTATCTAAATGATTCCTGTCATATCCAAGACATTATTCCATAATCATGTGTAATCCCTTCCCCCCAATATCAAAATATCTCAAATACATCCTTGGCAAAGCTTCCCGTTCCCCCTGGCCGACACCTGGCCAACATCGCAGCCGGTTTCGGTTCAACTGTGAAGGGAATTTGTCGCAGGCCATGCAGGGAGAAATGGAATGGCCCCAGCTGTTTGCCACCTCCAGAAGAATGAATCCTATGACATTGGCCACCGGGATGCACTTGGATATCACTTGGATATCACTTGGATATCACTTGGATATGTTGCAGTGCTAAGACTAGAGAAAGGCACCAAAGAGCATTACCGGCATTACCTGGCAGAGAGAGAGAGAGAGAAAGCAGTGTGTGTGTGTTAAGCCCGCTAATCGTCATGCGGGTAAGAGTTTGCAAATTGAAGTCAGTGGTCAATTTTACATGTTTACCAGGGGAGCTGGTTGTCCATGCCAGTACCAACCCAACGAAGAGGCTTGCATGTGACACTGATATCACTGGAGAGGTCCAGTGACGTACAAATTCGAATGTGTTTCGAACTGTTGAACATGTTTCGATGTCAGGCTGTTGCAGGTACAGGTACATCATCAGTTTGCTGCATCAGGATGGTTACTTAGGAACCCTCAAGGCGATGACAACCTCATCACTAATAAAAAATTAAAGTTCCAGTTCAGAGTAAGTGATTACTCTCAGCAGTGTGTGTGTAGTTGTGCAAATTCTGCGCAACTTCATAGTAGACTCAGTAGAGCATAGTGGAGCCTGATCCTTGAACGACCTGAACCACTGAACCGTTCACAAAGTGACCCGCCCAAAGGATCTAGTGCATTGTCATGCTGCCACATGGGTGCCGCGTGCCATCAGGTGTTCTTCAGAGGGTTCTCAGCTTCGGTGTTTGTTGTTCATCAGCTCGCACATTTTTGGGCCTCCCGAGATGAAGGGTTTTTCTACTTCATCTACGTCACGCACTGGACCATGAGTCTTGGCCAACGTCTTTGAACCGGTTTAACCGTAGGATCAATCAGAGAGCATCCTTGCGGCCATCATAAACCTTGGAGATAGTCCAAATCATGTTCATCCGGAAAATTGTTCTTAATGGTGGGGTTCAAAACCTTTGTTTGGGCACATTAACCTGAACTGGTCAGACCAGAAGGCACCAATCTACTTATGGAATCTTATGGATATTAAATGTGAACATGTGTCATGAGTTCATATAATTAGCATTAATTGGCTACAATTATTTAATTATATATAATTATATAATTTTGTATAAATATCAATATATATATATTATTATATGTGTGTATTTGTGTGTGTTATATCCCATTATCATATTGCAATTTCTCTTTCAGGGCATGCGCCCTTGTGGCAGCTCCCGAGGATCCTGGGAACCATTTCCGAGTGTCTTCTATTTCACTTAGCGTCCAAGGGGATGCAACAAATGCTTCCCTTCCCAACGGCACGGCGGGTTGAAACCCCCATGCTGGTCCGCATTGAACTGGTTCTGTGGCACATCGTCCACCCATTCTCCCTGTTCCTTGGCTGATGATCGCGGTAGATTTGGAACATGCGAAGCACAGTGGTGTAAAGTTTGGAGACCTTTGACTTTATACGTTGCCAAGAGGTGTTATGGACATGACCACCAGGAAATAATATTGGTGGAAACAAAGTTCGGCATTCAAGTCGATTGTCATTGCCTTATAAGCGAAACGACAAACACATCGGCCACAGGGTGAACAAGACAAAATAAGTTGCATATGAGTTTACTTTTCCTTATGGGATGTTCGAAGGACTTCCGAGCTCTTGACCCAGAACATCCCAGAACCAATTTCTTTAAGTCGGATTTTTTTTGGGCGTCTACCAACTGCTCTGTGTGTTTGAGGCTTGTGAAGAGCCTGTGTCTTTGGCTGCAGGTTTTAGCCCCTGCAAACTTTAATGGGGTGAACAGGGGCTGAGATCTAAGCGACCATGCTTGTGCTACATCAGATGCCATCGTAAATCCTTACTTGGCATGATCAAACGTAAAGTCAAACTTGTGGTTTTCAAACGCATGTGTGGACATTGGGTACATTTGGGTACTGTCCTGGTTTGCACCTAGGTATTGGGCCAGTTGGCTGCTAGAGAACCCATTGGAAGATTTGCAGAAGATTAGCTATTTGGATGCCTCTTGGACGGGGGTTGGCTTGGAGTACTCAGGTGATACATGGTGTCACCCTCCCATTCCAGTCCTCGTAGTCATGAATCGGTCGCCATACGGCTATAATACTGCTATAGTGCTTGTTTCAGAGTGGAAGGACGAGAGTTGCTTTGCAGGTAGTGGATACTCATTCACAGCTGAAATCCACAGGTAGCAGGTCTGGCAGGTTTCATTTAGCCTGGCAATGACCCATGGATCCTAAGGGATTTCATGGGTCATGGCATTGTTTGGCCACTGAGTTCTACACCCATGGCTTTGGACAGTTCTGGCTGCTTCTCAGTAGCTTTGGCTGCACAAAGGGGCGGCTGCAGGCCTGCAGGTCACTATCTTGGAACATCCTGGAACTCTTCATGGAAAGCTGGAACTATATATAAAATTATTTTGGGTACACTTAAGTACTAGGGTAGTAGCATGTAGTATCTGTAAATTTGCCAGGTGTATACTTCAGGATCTAGCTACCCAGACGTTGTTTAGTGGATTGGAATGCTTGCCTTCCGTGAGGCTTCCTGGTGAGCAACGTGCCATTTTCGATGTGTACTGGCTTTGGTTGGTGCGTGCGCCCCGGCCAAGCCATAGATTTTCCGTTTGCTTCAATATTTGGAATGGGTTCATCCAAATTTGGTACCGAAAAGTGGATGGTCAGAGAATGTTGGAAAAAACAAGATGCAGCACATGAACCCGAATGCTCACACGTATGTTAATGGTACAGATGTCGAAACACATGGATATGCAGTCACGCAGAACACTTTTCTGCAATAGTTTATTTGAACAGTCTTGTACATATTTCCCCTGTTACCAGACTGCAGTTTGGAGTGGAAAGTGTGGAGTGGGGAGTGTGAAGTGTGTAAAGTGTAGAATGCAGAGTGTGGAGTGGAAAGTGTAGAGTGTGGACTGTGGAGTGAGGAGTGTAAAATGTGGAGTGAGGAGCGTAACAGTGTATAGGGTAAAGTGTAAAGTGTGGAGTGTAGACTGTGGAGTGTGGAGTGTAAAGTGTCGAGTGTAAAGTGTAGAGTGTAGAGTGTGAAGTGTAAAGTGGGGAGTGTGGAGTGTGGAGCGTAAAGTGTGGAGTGAGGAGTGTAAAATGTGAAGTGGGGAGTGAGGAGTGAAAAATGTAAAGTGCAAAGTGTAGAGTGTAGAGTGTGAAGTGGAAAGTGTAGAGTGTGGAGTGTGGAGTGCGGAGTGTAAAGTAAGGAGTGTGGAGTGTAAAGTGTGGAGTGGGGAGTGTAGAGTGTGTAAAGCGTAGAGTGTGGAGTGTGAAGTGTAGAGTGTAAAGTGTAGAGTGTAAAGTGTAGAGTGTAGAGTGTGGAGTGTAAAGTGTGGAGTGTGGAGTGGAAAGTGTGGAGTGCAAAGTGTGGAGTGTAAAGTGTAGAGTGTGGAGTGAGAAGTGTGGACTGTAAAGTGCAGAGTGTGGAGTGTAAAGTGTATAGTGTAAAGTGTAGAGTGTGGAGTGTGGAGTGTAACAGTGGAGTGTAGAGTGTGGAGTGTGGGGTGTAAAGTCAGGAGTGTGGAGTGTAAAGTTTGGAGTGTGGAGTTTGCAGTCGGTAAAGTGTAGAGTGTGGAGTGTATAGTGTGGAGTGTAAAGTGTAAAGTGTGAAGTGTGGAGAGTAAATTGTAGAATGTGTAAAGTGTAGAGTGTGGAGTGTAGAGTGTGGAGTGTGGGGTGTAAAGTAAGGAGTGTAAAGTGTGGAGTGTGGAGTGCGCAGTGGGTAAAGTGTAGAGTGTGGAGTGTAGAGTGTGGAGTGTAAATTATAAAGTGTGGAGTGTAGAGTGTAGAGTGTGGAGTGTAAAGTGTGGAGTGTAGAGTCTGGACTGTGGAGTGTAAAGTGCAGAGTGTCGAGTGTAAAGTGTAGAGTGTAAAGTAGTGTAAAGTGTAGAGTGTAGAGTGTGGACTGTAGACTGTGGAGTGTGGAGTGTAGAGTGTGGAGTGTAAAGTGTGGAGTGTAAAGTGTGGAGTGTAAAGTGTAGAGTGTGGAGTGAGGAGTGTGGAGTGTACAGTGAAAAGTGTAGAGTGTAAAGTGTAAAGTGTGGAATGTAAAGTGTAGAGTGTGGAGTGTAAAGTGTGGAGTGTTAATTGGGGAGTGTCGTGTGTAGAGTGTGGCGTGTAGAGTGTGGAGAGTTTAACGTGCAGAGTGTAAAGTGTAGAATGTAAAGTCAGTGTGAGATGTATAGTGTGGAGTGCAAAGTGTGGAGTGTAAAGTGTAGAGTGTGGAGTGAGGAGTGTGGACTGTAAAGTGCAGAGTGTGGAGTGTAAAGTGCGAAGTCTAAAGTGTAAAGTGTGGATGTGGAGTGTGGAGAGTAAAGTGTGGAGTGTGGAGTGTAAAGTGTGGAGTGTGGAGTGTAAAGTGTGGAGTGTAGACTGTGGAGTGTGGAGTGTAAAGTGTACAGTGTAAAATGTAGAGTGTAAATTGTGGAATGTAAAGTGTTGACTGTAAAGTGTGGAGTGTAAAGTGTAGAGTGTGGAGTGAGGAGTGTGGAGCGTGGAGTGTACAGTGTGAAGTGTGGAGTGTAAAGTGTGGAGTGTGGAGTGTGGAGTGTAAAGCGGGGGCTGTAAAGTGTAGAGTGTAAAGTGTAAGAGTGCGGAGTGTGGAGTCTAAAGTGTGGAGTGTAGAGTGTGGAGTGTGGAGTGCAAAGTGTAGAGTGTCATGTGTGGAGTGTAATGTGTGAAGGGTGGAGTGTGTAGTGCTGCGCTGGCCTTGAAAACTGCAACTCGTCTTGTGAACACGACGCAAAAGTACTGCGCCTGCCACACACAACGACCTTCGACACGTTATCAAACAGGTTGGAATGTCCCAGAGTACCACGCCTGCCACGCAAAACGACATGACAACCTGCTTGAAAACCTCCAAAAAGGAGATGTTTTGCAGCTTCCCCCATAGACACGGCGAAGCCACAGGAAAACCAGAGACTCGAGACGAGACACGTGGGAGCAGCAAAACGACAATTTCGTGCGAGACATCCTCCAATTTTGACACTTTGTAGCCTCAAAATCGACGTTTTCCTACGAGTTTTCTTACGAACCTCAAAATTTGCTATCTCAAAATCGATGTTTCGTGAGAGGCTTCCATCAATTTTCAGCACATCTCACAAAATGCCACGCCTACACAGAATTTGCACCTTGTCGCCACTTGACGCAGCCCTGCCAATGCGATTTGCAAAAAAACACGCCAAACGACACGTCTAAAGCGCTGCTGCCAAGAGAAATGACGATGGACACATCCAAAGTGCTGCGCCTGCCACGAAAACTGCAATGTATCTTCTGAAAACGTTGCAAAAGTATTGCGCCTGCCACACAAAACCACTTTCGACACGTTATACAAAACACGTCTGAATGTCACGAAGTGCCACGCCTGCCACGCGAAACGAAGCAACGAGACATTTAAAACCTCCAAAAATGACTTATTCTGCAGAACTTAACATAGACCCGGGCAAGCCGGCGGCGGAAGTTTCCCAAACATAAATGACCTATAGTTCAAAGACACCCTGTCCCGACCGTGTCCTTCCCTCGACACTCCACACCTCACACTGCACACTGCACACTGCACTCTTCGCACTCCAAACTTCAAACTTCACACTCCACACTTCACAGTCCACACTTCACACTTCACACTTCACAGTCCACACTTCACACTTCACACTTCACAGTCCACACTTCTCACTTCGCACTTCACACTTCACACTCCACATTTCACACTTCTCACTTCTCACTGCTTCCTTCACACTCCAAACTTCACACTTCACACTTCTCACTTTGCACTTCACACTCCACACTTCACAGTCCACACTTCACACTTCTCACTTCTCACTTCTCACTGCTTCCTTCACACTCCTAACTTCACACTTCTCACTTCGCACTTCACACTCCACACTTCACAGTCCACACTTCACACTTCTCACTTCTCACTGCTTCCTTCCCACTCCAAACTTCACACTCCAAACTTCACACTTCACCCTTCTCACTTCGCACTTCACACTCCACACTTCACTCACACTTCACACTTCACAGTCCACACTTCACACTTCTCACTGCTTCCTTCACACTCCAAACCTCACACTTCACAGTTCACACTGCGCTCTTCGCACTCCACACTGCACAGTCCACACTTCACACTTCTCACTTCACACTTCTCACTGCTTCCTTCACACTCCAAACTTCACACTTCTCACTTCGCACTTCACACTCCGCACTTCACAGTCCACACTTCACACTTCTCACTGCTTCCTTCCCACTCCAAACTTCACACTCCAAACTTCACACTTCACACTTCTCACTTCGCACTTCACACCCCACACTTCACTCACACTTCACACTTCACACTTCTCATTTCTCACTTCTCACTGCTTCCTTCACACTCCAAACCTCACACTTCACACTTCACACTGCGCTCTTCGCACTCCAAACTGAAACTTCACACTCCACACTTCACACTTCTCACTTCCCACTGCTTCCTTCACACTGCACACTTCACACTGCATTCTTCACGCCCCACACTTCACACTGCTCTAAACCTACGTCCAACAAAAAACACTAGTGCCAAAATGGAGAAAATCTGCTAACAAACCCATGTCGCAGCCTTCATGCAGCCACTCCAAGACGATTTCCGAGATCCAGCTGCAAAAGACAATAGTATTACGAATGCAGCCACAGCACGAAGCAACCTTGACGCAGCCATTACAATAAGATCTGCAGAGACTGAGTTGCAAAGCACAATAGAACTACGCGCAACGGCGTCGGAAATTGTAGCTCCAAAACCGGATCTCGACGCCAGAGCGAAAAAAAGACGATTTTGAAGCACTTTTTAAATGGATTTTTAGAAGGAAAATCACTAGCGCCAAAATGAAGAAAATCTGCTAACAAATCCATGTCGCAGCCTTCATGCAGCCACTCCAATACGATTTCCGAGATCCAGCTCCAAAAGACAATAGTATTACGAATGCAGCCACAGCACGCAGCAACCTTGACGCAGCCATTACAATGCGATCTGCAGAGACTGAGTTGCAAAACACAATAGAACTACGCGCAACGGCGTCGGAAATTGTAGCTCCAAAACCGGATCTCGACGCCAGAGCGAAAAAAAAAAGACGATTTTGAAGCACTTTTTAAAAGGATTTTTAGAAGGAAAATCACTAGCGCCAAAATGGAGAAAATCTGCTGACAAATCACTGTCGCAGCCTTCATGCAGCCATTCCAATACGATTTACGAAGTCCAGCTGCAAAAGACAATAGTATTACCAATGCAGCCACAGCACGAAGCAACCTTGACGCAGCCATTTACACTGCGGGAATGATCCTACAGTTGCAAAGGACAATGGAATTCCATCGGCAACTCATCCACCAGCACCACTTGCAATCCCATTTGCATAGCGGGAACGATCCTACAGTTGCAAATCACAATGGAATTCTGTCAACCACACATGCACGAAAAACAGTTGAAACCCCATTTACAATGCGGAACCGATCCGAGACCGATCCGAGACCGATCCGAGCATGAGCCGACCACACACGAGACCGTCTCGCAACCGTCGCACCGCAGAGGTAGATCATCGAGGTTCGGGGACGGACTTTGTATGGAAAAACATAGGGTTTCGTGCATCTGCTATCTCTCAAAAACGCATTTCGTGCGAGACTTCCTCCAAAACTCCATCGGCAACTCCTCCACCAGCACCACTTGCAATCCCATTTACAGTGAGGGAACGATCCTAGAGTTGCAAATCAAAATGGAATTCCATCGGCAACTCATCCACCAGCACCACTTGCAACCCCATTTACAATGCGGGAACGATCCTACAGTTGCAAATCACAATGGAATTCTGTCGACCACACATGCACGAAAAACAGTTGAAACCCCATTTACAATGCGGAACCGATCCGAGACCAATCCGAGGATGATCCGACCACGCACGAGACCGTCTCGCAACCGTCGCACCGCAGAGGTAGATCATCCAGGTTCGGGGACGGACTTTGTATGGAAAAACATAGGGTTTCGTGCATCTGCTATCTCTCAAAAACGCATTTCGTGCGAGACTTTCTGCAAAACTCCATCGGCAACGCCTCCACCAGCACCACTTGCAATCCCATTTGCAGTGAGGGAACGATCCTAGAGTTGCAAATCACAATGGAATTCCATCGGCAACTCATCCACCAGCACCACTTGCAACCCCATTTACAATGCGGGAACGATCCTACAGTTGCAAATCACAATGGAATTCTGTCGACCACACATGCACGAAAAGCAGTTGAAACCCCATTTACAATGCGGAACCGATCCGACCATATCCGACCATGATCCGACCACACACGAGACCGTCTCGCACCCGTCGCACCGCAGAGGTAGATCATCCAGGTTCGGGGACGCACTTTGTATGGAAAAACATAGGGTTTCGTGCATCTGCTATCTCTCAAAAACGCATTTCGTGCGAGACTTCCTCCAAAACTCCATCGGCAACTCCTCCACCAGCACCACTTGCAATGCCATTTACAGTGCTTCAGTGAGGGAACAATTTCTTTGCTAACTCTTTCTGTGACTAACTCTTTTCCTCACCAACTCTTTCTTTGACTACCTTGTTTCTTTGCTAACTCTTTCTTTGACTACCTCATATATCCTGACTAACTCTTTCCCTGACGAACTCTTTCTTTGCTAAATCTTTCTTTGACTAACTCTTTCCCTCACTAACTCTTTCTTTGACTAACTCTTTCCCTGACGAACTGTTTCTTTGCTAACTCTTTCTTTGACTAACTCTTTCCCTGACTAACTGTTTCTTTGCTAACTCTTTCTTTGACTAACTTTTTCCCTCACTAACTCTTTCTTTGACTAACTCTTTCCCTGACTAACTGTTTCTTTGCTAACTCTTTCTTTGACTAACTCTTTCTTTGACTAACTCTTTCTGTGACTAACTCTTTCCCTCACTAACTCTTTCTTTGACTAACTCTTTCCCTGACTAACTGTTTCTTTGCTAACTCTTTTTTTGACTAACTCTTTCCCTCACTAACTCTTTCTTTGACTAACTCTTTCCCTGACTAACTGTTTCTTTGACTAACTCTTTCTGTGACTAACTCTTTCCCTCACTAACTCTTTCTTTGACTAACTCTTTCCCTGACTAACTGTTTCTTTGCTAACTCTTTCCCTGACTAACTGTTTCTTTGACTAACTCTTTCTTTGACTAACTCTTTCCCTGACTAACTGTTTCTTTGCTAACTCTTTCTTTGACTAACCCTTTCCCTCACTAACTCTTTCTTTGACTAACTATTTCCCTGACTAACTGTTTCTTTGCTAACTCTTTCTTTGACTAACTCTTTCCCTCACTATCTCTTTCTTTGACTAACTCTTTCCCTCACTATCTCTTTCTTTGACTAACTCTTTCCCTCACTAACTCTTTCTTTGACTAACTCTTTCCCTGACTAACTGTTTCTTTGCTAACTCTTTCTTTGACTAACTCTTTCCCTGACTAACTGTTTCTTTGACTAACTCTTTCTTTGACTAACTCTTTCCCTGACGAACTCTTTCTTTGCTAACTCTTTCTTTGACTAACTCTTTCCCTGACATTCTAAAAGTCCGTAACACGGAAGTTTCTCCCCCTAAACTTCCTTTGACCATAGGCACGGCCATATAGCAATCGCGCGGACGGTTGCGAACGGTTGCGAACCGTTGCGGACGTTTGTGGACGTAAACGCAACGTCGAGCGAACACACCCTCAGCCCCCAGACCCCCAGAGTGAAACGGGAACCCTTGCTACGCATTCGGGAAAACAATGTTAAAATCTCAAGCTATTGGTGTTAAACAGATGCCCACAGATTGAAAGAACTCAGGGTTTGAAACATGTGACCCCATAGCCATAACAAAACCACTTCAGGGCGCAGGGTGTCACAGCCGCCCATGGCCTTTGAGGACCTATGCTTTGGTCTTCATAGCATGGAGCCTGGTCCATTTCTTCACTAAGATTGGCACTCCTCAGCCTTGCGAGGGATATCTGCAAAATGACGGGGATGACGGGTGATCATGACACGTGTCCGAGAGATCTGGAGACCTAATGATAATCAATGATGTATGAGGCAGTTGAGGTGCACAACTCTAACAGAACTCTTTTGAGAATGCGCAGTGGTACCTTTGAATTCTTGAGGGTGTCTCAGTTCAGAAGAGTGACAGTTGTAAAAAGAAAGTGGCCAGTCATTCTGGGCCATTGGGTGGAGGGCCGACTCTTTTCACAAATCATATTTCTGGACAATGCAATTGCGCAAAATGCACTGTGCACTTGCACAATCTCCATATCAATCTGGACAGCAACTGCTGCAATTTTACACCAATTGATTTTGCCCCACTTAGACCATGTTGAATGGGGTTTGGACCCTATAGGCATAGCTTATAGGTGTTTGGAAAGAGGCCAAAAATATTGCACAAACTTGTTGGACAAAGATTCCACCATCAAGCGGACACCCTGGGAGGAGTGTCCAATCTACAGCAAATTTGATTGGCACAAGCCACAGCTAACGACGATCATTGCCTTACTCGTGCCTTTGATGCAGCATGGAATCCACGGATGATGCGATTCCCATGAAGGTCTCTTCATGTTTTCGCAAGATCGAATTGCCAAGTGGTCTTGATACACAGTTTTGTTCTGTTCCATTTGTTCAACTTACAATCTTTCTTAGGCTTCTCGCTGTTGAAACAAGTTGCGGGTAATCTTTGCCACAAACAGTCACAAGAAACCCCATTAGAAGAAGTGGTTTACGTCCAACATACTGTAGTTTTCTGAATCTAACCGAATCTAGTTGACAATCGCCAGTTGGTGTCCCCGTTTCCAACCAGTCCTGCCTGGATTGAAGCAAGCGTCAACGGCTCCACCATGGTTTTCATTTGAGAGGACAAAAAAATCTGGGTTGCACCATCTTTGTTGCAAACCATTTCGGGCTCTCTACAAGAGAACAAACTTTTGACCTTATAAAATGATATATAATTACATGTAGGAGGGGATACCAGGTCTTGGACAGTGCTAAATTCTGCATTGCTTCTGGAATCTGCCTTCGTTCAGCCGGGACGGTTCACTTCAGGTATGCTTGGTTGCATGTCCAGTAGTATGCACGTTCTATGCGACCCTAGCAGCTGGGAGAGCAAGAAGACATGAAACGTCGTGAAACAGTGCTGGAGCTGTCGCCTATAGGAATTATATAATTTATAGCAATTAACAATTATCAATTTAATGATGATATGCCTGCATTTTATACGTGTGTAAGATATATAAGATCAAATGTGGATACGAATCAGGGCTGGCTGGCTGCGAAATGTTGCAACTATGTTTGTGATGGAGCCCAAGGGGCCCTTGAGTCAAAATGGAAAATCATCACCGGTGCATCACCGCACTCCGGTTGTATGCCACCAAGCCGAAAGCTGAGCACCTTTTTTCAGGCATCTCGGTGTCGTGGCAGTCATGATGTCCAGGAAGGACGTGAGAACAAGACAGGAACTGGGGACTGCGAGGAACCCAAGGCCCTGTCAGTGGAAACCCCAAATTGGATGGCCCACAACCACAAGTGGTTGAAATATGTGATAAAGAGTGGGTTTGGGGTCCCATAGTTTTTGACAAGACAGGTGGCCAGATGCGGCAGATTCCCCCCTGTACCATCCTATACCTATGTTTATGATAACGATCAACGGGAATCATGTTTCTTTCTTGAGGAAAGTGTCCCCGAGTGTGGAATGAGGATGAGGACGAGGATGAGCATGATGAGGATGAGGATGGTGATGATGATGGGGATGGCGATGGTGATGATGATGATGATGATGAGGATGACGACGACGACGACGACGATGATGATGATGCTGGTGCTGATGCTGATGATGATGATGAGGAGGATGATGATGAGGATGAGGATTGATGATTGATGATGGCAATGACGATGACGATGACGATGATGATGATGATGATGACGACGACGACGACGATGATGATGATGATGATGCTGATGCTGATGCTGATGATGAGGAGGATGATGATGATGAGGATGAGGATGAGGATTAGTGATTGATGATGACAATGACGATGACGATGATGATGATGATGATGGTTTTGATTATGATGATGATGATGCTAATGATGATGATGATAATGATGATGATGGTAAAAATGATAATGATGATGGGGAGGAGGATGATGATGATTATCATCATGAGGATCCTGAAAATGATGATGCGGATGATGATGATGATGATGATGACGAGGATAATGATGGTGATGATCATGGTAATGATCATGACCATGGTGACGATTGATCGATTGTTTTTTTTCTGATTGCTTGATTGATTTATTGAATGAATGATTGAATGGCTGGTTGATTCGACTGACTGATTGATTGATTGAATGATTGATTGATTGAGTGGTTGACTGTTTTGATTGATTTGATTGATTAATTTGATTGCTTGATTGATTGGTTGCCTGACTGACTGATTGATTGACTGGTCGAATGATGATGATGATGATGATGATGATGTCATGATCATGATCGTGATCACAATCATGATTGGGATGACAATAGTTTGATAATGAACATCATTATGATGACGACGACGATGATGATGATGACGATGATGATGATGATTATGTTGATGATAACCATGATAGTGTTTTTGATGAGCATGACGACGAATTATGATCATGAACATGACTATGTTGATGATGATGACGATTACATCTATGGTGATGATGATGAGGATGATGAGGATAGTTGTTGTGATTTTGATGAGGGTTATGAAGATGATGAGGATGATGAGGATGAAGGTGATTATGATGATAATGAGGATGATGAGGACAAAGGTGATGATGATGAGGAGGATGATGATCATGATCATGATGATGATGGTGATGATGGTGATGACGGGGATGGTGATGGTGATGATGATGATGAGGATTATGAGGATGAAGATGATGATTATGATGATGATATTGATGATGATGATGATGATGTTGATGTTGATGGCGATGGTGGTGATGATGGGGAGGATGATGATGAGGATGGGGGTGATGATGATGATGATGATGATGACGATTATGATGATGATGATGATGGTGATGGTGACGATGGTGATGATGAGGAGGAGGATGAGGATGATGATGATGATGATGTTTTTTGTTTTAATGAAAATGAGTTTGATGATGTTGAAAAGGTGGAATATGATGATGTTAATGATGATGATGATGAGGATGATGAGGACGATGGGGATGATGAGGAATTTGATGATGAGGATGATGGGGATGATGAGGATTTTGTTGATGATGATGATGATGAGGATGATGGTGATGATGAGGATGAAAAAGATGATGGGGATGATGATGGTGATGATGATGATGAGGATGATGAAGATGATGGAGGTGATGATGATGATGATGATGATGAGGGTAATGGTGATGGTGATGATGATATGGTGATGGTGATGATGATGATGATGATGAGGATGAGGGTGAGGATGAGGATGAGGATGATGAGGAAGAGGGGGGTGATGAGGATGATGGTGATGATGATGCTGGAGGAGGATGTGGATGAGGATAATGAGGAGGATGATGATGCTGAGGATGATGAGGATCTTCAGGATTATGATGGTGACGATGATGAGGATGATGAGGAAGAGGAGGAGGAGGATGAGGATGATGGGGATGATGGGGATGATGGGGATGATAATGGTGTCAATGATTATGTTGTTGATGATGATGATGAGGATAGGGATGACGATGGTGATGAGCATGATGAGGGTGATGATGATGATGATGATGATGATGATGATCATGATGCTGATGATCATGATGATGATGAGGATGAGGAGGAGGAAGATAATGATGATGATCGCCATGTCAATGTTCATGATGAGGATGAAAGTGGTGATGATCATGAACTTGCTCATGATGATGGCTGTGATGATGATGAGGGTTAGGATGATGAGGACGGTGATGACTATGTTCATGAGGATGATGAGAAGGATGATGAGGATGACGATGGTCTTCATCATTGTGATCATGATTTTGATGATGGTCATGAGGATGATGATTGATGAGTGATTGGTTGGTTGACTGATTTTTAGATTGATTGATTGATTTGATTTTTTTTGAATGGTTTGATTGATTTATTTTGATGATTCTCATGATGGTGATCATGATCATGACCATGATTGAGATGACGATGATCATGGTCATGAACATCATGATGATGACGCTAATGACGATGATGATGTTTATTTTGATGAAAGCCAAGATAATGTTTTTGATGAGGATGACAACGGTGAGGATCATAAACATGTTTTTGATGATGGTGAGGATGAAATCATGAGAATGATGATGGTTATGATGATGAGGATGGTGAGAAAGATGGTGGGGATTATGATGGCTATGATGATGATGATGATGATGAGGATGAGGATGAGGATGACGGTGGTGATGATGATGATGAGGATGATGAGGATGATGCTGATGATGTTGATGTTGATGACGATGGTGATGATAATGAGGAGGAGGAGGATGATAATGAAGAAGAAGATGATGATGATGATGGTGATGATGATGATGAGGTTGATGAGGTTAATGATGATGATGATGAGGAGGAGGAGGATGAGGATGATGAGCATGATGATGATGGTGATGATGAGGAGGAGGAGGAGAAGGATTTTGAACAGATGATCGTTTTGATGATGATGACGATGATGATGATGATGAGGATGTCAACTTTGGTGATGATGATGATGGTGATGACAACGACGATGAAGATCATGAAGATGAAGAGGATGATGAAGATGATGATGATGATAATAACGATGATGATGAGTAGGGTGATGAGGATGAGGATGATGGGGACGATAAGGATAATGGCAATACTGGTGATGATGATGACACTGGTGATGGTGATGATGATGATGACGATGGTGATGATGATGGGGAGGAGGATGATGACGATGGTGATGATGATGAGGAGGATGAGGAGGATGAGGAGGATGAGGATGAGGATGATGATTATGAGGATGTTGATGATGATGACGATGGTTGTGATGATGATGAGGATGAGGATGGTGAGGATGATGATGATGATGATGATGATGACGATGGTTGTGATGATGATGATGAGGAGGATGGTGATGATGACGATGACGATGATGATGATGACAGTGGTGATGATGGTGATTGTGATGATGAGGATGAGGAGGGTCATGATGATGATGATGATGTTGATGGTGATGATGATGATGATGATGATGGAGGATGATGATGATGATGATGAGGATGGTGATGATGATGATGACGATGGTGATGATGATGAGGAGGAGGATGAGGAGGATGATGATGAGGAGGAGGATGATGATGATGATGATGATGATGACGATGTTTGTGATGATGATGATGTCGATGTTGTTGACGATCGTGATGATGATGATGATGATGAGGATGAGGATGAGGATGAGGAGGATGATGATGATGATGATGATGTCGATGTTGATGACGATGGTGATGATTATGATGATGATGATGAGGATGGTGAGGATGACGATGACGATGATGATCGTGAAGATGATGATGATGATGATGATGATGATGGTCATGATGATGATGATGGTGATGATGATGATGATGGTGATGATGATGATGATGATGATAAGGATGATAAGGATGACAATGGTGATGATAATGATGATAATGATGATAATGATGATGATGATGATGTTGATGGTGATGATGATGATGGAGGAGGATGATGATGAGGGTGATGATGATGATGAGGATGATGATGATGTTGTTGTTGATGTTGATGACGATGGTGATGATGAAGAGGAGGAGGATGATCATTTGAGGATGAGGATGATGATGATGATGATAGTGATACTGATGACTTTGACTATGATGATGATCATGATGACGCTGGTGATGATAATGATGATGATGAGGAGGAGGATGAGGATGATGATGGTGATGGTGATGAGGAGGATGAGGATGAGGATGATGAGGATGAGGATGATGACGATGATAAGGAGGATGAGGATGATGATGATGATGATGATCATGATGATGATGATGATGATGTTGATAAGGATGACGATGGTGATGATGATGATGAGGAGGAGGAGGAGGATGAGGATGATGAGGATGACGACGACGACAACCCCTTCTTGATGCCAGGTTGTCCAGTACCCAGTTGGGAGGTCCCAGCTGGAGTCCAATTGCACCGCCGTAGGTGGAGGAAGTTACAGTTGATGCAACAGCCCTTTGAGTTCGCAAGCCCCAGGCCAATGTCCGGAGGCTTTGTGGAAGGGACTAATGGGGATTTTTGGAGCGCGACTTGCATCCAGTTGCCCTTCTGCGTTACAATATTTTGAAGCTTGAGGCTTGAAGAAATGTAATTCGGAGTTCTGGAGATTGAATTCCTAGGCCCTGACATGGCTGCAGGCACTCAGCATGCAGCCTGGACGACGGCACCTTTTTTTGAGTGGCAAAAGCAACCGATTCGGCAAAAGCAGGTGTGGTTGCCTATGTCCTGTCCATATCCTTCACAGCAGGTTTATCATTTCCCAATTTTTGCCTTGTTCATCAGCAGGTTCACTGTTACACAGACAGTCACTGCTGAAAGGCATTAATATTCATCCTTCTAATTTGAGCGGTGCCACCGTCACCCCCCCCACAAATCCACATTTGGCTATAGATTTGTCTATGGAACGACCAATTATCCCATGCGTCATTTGGTGGTTGTGAGTTGTAAGTGGGGGAGGGAAATTATAGATGAGCTTCCGCATTTCTTGGCCAGACTGTAGGGACTTGATTTGAACGCGCCTCAGACATGGTCAATGAATTTTGTTCGCATATTTGCCATTGTTTGTACAGCCTCTCTTTGAGTGGCCTGACCGGGCCTGTGCTCAATGATTTTTTTTCGCAAACTTGGCCTTGTTTGTACAGAGTCTTCGAGTGGCCTGACCGGCCAGTGTTCGAAATTCATATTGCCCAAACTGCTTAGATTGCCCAGCCCCGGCCCGTGGCCGCGCTGGCTGCAGAAATTCCAACAAGAGGTAAACAGCCCCGCATCGGCGCAGGGTTTCTTGGTTCCTTCCTCTGTTGATCCTTTTATCGGGATTTTTCGGAGCACCCCTGTCATTCACTTAGGCAGCATTTCACGCGTCCTGGTAGGCAGTCACTGCAAAGAGCCAATGATTGTGGTGTGCTCTGTGTTTGCTGCACTTGTCAAAATGTGTTGATGATGCATGACCTTGGATCATCATCCTCGTCGTCGTCCTCGTCGTCCTCCTCGTCCTCCTCGTCCTCATCATCATCACCATCATCATCATCATCATCAAGAAGAAGATCATGATCATCATCATCATCATCATAAAAAGTTGTGACCATGATCATCACATGGCCATCTTTTTAATCACTGTTGTCGTTAACATCATGATCATCAAAATCATCGTCGTCGTCGTCATCATCATCATCATCGTGATCATGATCATGATCATCATCATGATCATCATCAATCATAATCATCGTCGTCGTCATCATCATGGTCATCATCATAATCATTGTCGTTGTCATCGTCATCATCGTCATCATCAACATCATCAACAACAACATCATCGTGATCATGATCATCATCATGACCATCATCATTATCATCGTCGTCATTATCATCATGATCATCATCATCATAATCATCGTCGCCGTCATCGTCATCATCATCATCATCATTACCATCATCATCATCATCATCTTCATCATCATCATCATAATCATCATCATCACTATCACTTTCACCATCATCATCATCATCATCACCAACATCATCATCACCATCATCACCATCATCATCAGTAGCATCATCGTCATCATCACCATCATCCTCATTATACTCATCACCATCACCATCCTCATCCTCCTCCTCCTCATCATTATCATCATCATCATCATGCTCATCCTCATCATCACCAGAATCATCCTCATGCTCCTTCTCATCCTCCTTATCATCATTATCATTATCACTATCGTCAGCATCAGCATCATCATCATCATCATCATCATTTTCATCACCATCCTCATCATCACCATCATCACCATCATCACCATCATCCTCATAATCACCATCATCCTCATCATCCTCACCATCAGCATCATCAGCATCAACATCATCATCATTACCATTACCACCAGTATCACTATCACTATCACCATCACCACCATCATCATCATCACCATCATCATCACCCTCATCCTCATCATCCTCATCATAACCATCACCATCCTCCTCATCCTGATCCTTACCCTCATCATCATCATCATCATCACCATCATCATCATCAGCATTATCATCCCCATCCTCCTCCTCCTCCTCCTCATCCTTCTCCTCCTCCCTTCATCATCATCTTCATCATCATCATCGTCATTATCATCATCACCTTCATCATCATCATCATCATTATCATCATCATCATCATCATCACAATCATCATCACCATCATCATCATCATCACCATCGTCATCATCATCAGTATCCTCATCCTCATCATCATCACCATCATCATCATCACCATCACGGAGCACCATTCCCCTGGGGACATTACTGGCACATTACTGGGACATTCCCCTTCTTCTGGAGCCTTTTTGGATCCGGGATCCAATCCCCAGCAGGCGATCAGGACCGAGACATAAATCCCTGCCATGACTGGCTGCTGCAACGTCTTCAAGGTTGAGCTCCGATGGCCCGAGCAGGCTCCATTGGGCCTGGCCACACTGTTGGCTCAGGAATGTTCAGGAGAAGTCGTGATAATATGAACAAGGGAGAGAGATTTATGTCATTGCGTAAAATTGCTGCCGCAATCCAATGTCTTCTTTAGGCAAAGAGGGATTTCGATCAAAATAAAGTTTGAATATGTCACTTCGTGACCAAGTGTCGAAAGCTGCTCAGAAGTCCAGAATTTATAGATTACAGCAGACGTGCAATTTCTTCGACATAAAATTCAATATAATTAAACAATGTTAAACATGAGATTCGGCTCAGGCAGTTCTTGGGCGGTGGGTGGAATGAGACTCACTGCCGCCCTTGCTCACTGGTCGAAGAATCACATCCGTATGATTGAACGTACTATGCACATCTATGCACTAGATCTCCAATTCCAATCATAGCAATGACAAAGTCCATGGGCAAAAAAAGCGATGTGGAAGATTTCCCAATGCAACACTGTCAGATTTCTATATGCAAAGGTAGAGACCAAAGAATCGACGAGTTTTTTCACGAAAACTATAGTTTTTCTTAGCTGAAGTATACCTAGCAAGGTATTAGCAGGGGCTGCAATCGCCAATCGCATGAAACTTCACAATTAAGTATCCCCCCCGGCTTTTCCACAACCAGTTCTGCTTTGGCTCAAATCCCCAGTGCGGACATCGTCCCCGTATCGTCGTCAGCATCACCCTCCCAGCTCGCTTTCGTCTCTTACCCTTTGGCCTCAAGTTGGCTTAGCCAGATGCTTTTGGAACGCAATGATGGCAAAATTGCAAAAAGAGATGTATCGTTGAACAATTATCAGACTCGGGAAACAGGTGATAAAAACTAGGAAGGTACACCAGACTGATCAGGTGTGGTTTCACCAGCAATTGCTGCAATGGTGTTCGTAATCAAATGGTTGAATGACCAGGTCCTACCTGGAGAGCCTTATAGCCTCCACACTTGACTCTCCAGTCGAATAAAGTGTGGTTTTCCCCAACAGATTATTGAGAGAAGCCGGTTTAAGGGGGATATTCTCAAGGGTTTCTGATGCCGTCGATGACCGACAGACCGATCAGAAGTCAATCGGGGTGCCTGCACAATGGCTCACAGAACCCACTGGAGATGATCATGAAAGTATCTAATAACGAAAGTGGGCCACGGTGCAACCCTTGGGTTGCAATACTTGGGGAGTCTAAGTAAGAAAGAAACGATTTAAGGTTACCAGCTGTTGCACACACAAGCGCACACACGCACACACCTACATTTTGAAGGTTGCATCTTACTCACTGCGACGCATTTCTTTGATATTAGACTTGTTCCATGGGATCTTGGCCCCAACTTTCAACTACAGTATCAGTATAAGGGGTGCAACCTAGTCCCCTGTGGGCTGCAGCGCGCAGATAGCAACGTCGAATTGGTTCCCACCACTGGTCTACGCGATCTTCAACGGGCTCCTTGCGATGGTTTTTGTCGCATTTCTGATCATGATTCTCTCCGACAGCATCCCAGCACTTCGTCTTATTTAAACTAGCAGGTGCTGACCTTTTCTTTTGCAATGAGGCTAGGAAGGACCCACTGGCCATAGTGACAATTGACCGCTCAACAGCTCGGTGGATTGCCATATATTGCCATGCAGGCCCCATTCATCTCCCAAACCTTGCCAATATGCCAATATTTTCAGGACATTGGTGCGTTCTGGCTCATTTACCTGACAAATTGGGCATTGATCGTGGAAACGATTGCTATGGTGATGCTTTGCATCTCCACCGCGTGGGGGTACGCCAAGTTGCCCGATGGCCCCTCGCAGGGAAAGGCTCCCCTCTTTGTTCGCTACACTGTGGCCTTGTGGTATATGATTCAGCCAACGTCATTGAACCTCGGACGCAACAACTTAAAATGATCTTAAATGCAGATGAAGCAATGATTAATGAAGGGTTGTTCTTTCATGTTCTTTCTAGGTTTGTGTGAATTCCATGTCCTTTTTTTTCCAGTCAATCAGCATTGAAAGACTTTGACTTCATGATTGCACTAACTGAGCAGGCTGTGCTGGACAATTTGTTTTCGATAGCTTTTGATAGGAGGGTGAGTTCTTTTGTATTGCAGTCGTTTGTTGCAGGTTCCAGCGATGCTAGGTGCTTGCTAGTCATTCCTTCATTCATGCAGCAATGCAGTTTTGCATTTGTATACTGAATAAGTCTGGGCAAACCTTAGAGAGGCCCTGGCAAAAAAAAAACAAAAACAAATCCCGGCAAGAGACCCCAAACAGTGTGGGGGGGAGCGAAAGGATAATATATGATAATGTTGATGTTGATGTTGATGATGATGATGATGATGACGACGATGATGATGATGATGTTGATGATGATGGTGATGATAATGATGATGGTGAGGGTGAGGGTGATGATGGTGAAGATGATGGATGAGATGATGATGATGATGATGATGATGATGGTGATGATGATGATGATGATGATGATGATGATGGTGATTATGGTGAGGATGATGGTGATGGTGAGGATGATGATGGTGAGGATGGTGAGGATGGTGAGGATGGTGAGGATGAAGATGATGATGAAGATGATGATGATGATGATGAGGATGAGGATGAGGATGAGGATGATGAAGTGGATGATAAGGTGGAGGACGATGATGTAGAGAAGGAGGAAAATGTTGATGTTGATGAGGATGAACGGTGATGATGATGATGATGATGATGATGATGATGAGGATGAGGATGATGATGAGGATGAGGATGATGCGGATGATTTGATGATGATGCTGATGATGATGATGAAATGTGGAGGATGATGATGTAGAGAAGGAGGAAGATGATGATGTTGAGGAGGATAATGTTGAGGAGGAGGATGACAAGGATGAACATGTTGCGGGAGATGAGGTTGATGATCATGATGTTGCGGAAGACGAGGTGGAGGATGATGAGGTTGAGGATGATGATGTCAAGGGAGAGAAAGATGATGATTTGATGTTGAGGAGGAGGAAGATGATAATGTTGAGGATGATGAGGTTGAGGAGGAAGACCGGTCCCAAGACCGGGAAACACACTTTGTGCGAGCCTGAGTGGTCCAAAAGCATGTCCACATGTCACAAGAGACATCAGAAGAGCCACTTTAGACGGAAATTTACAGTAGGAAAAATGCGGCGGCCCAGATTCGGCCCAGAACGCAGACGAAGACTTTGTGCGAGCCTGCGCAGTCGAAATGCATGTCCACAGGTCACAAGAGACATCACTATACCCACTTTATACGGAAATTTACAAGCAAAATGCCGCGGCCTAGGTGGGGCCCAGAACGCAGACACACGTTGAGCGAGCCTGCGCAGTCGAAACGCATGTCAAGATTTCACAAGAGCCACTCTATCCGGAAATTTACAGGTAAACTATGGTAAAATGCCACAGACCAGAGTGAGCACCCTGGTCAAGCACCGGCCTGTACAGCTACCGCAAGAACCCCTCAGTGTGGACACACTGTTTGGGGAAATATTTACTGTTGTTCCATTTCATTCCCCTATTTCAGTGACCAGGGCTTCCATTAGAACTGGTGGAGACGGCCAGACATCCTGACATCAAACATTCAAAAACTTTGAAAACATCTCGCACATTCTCAGCGATCAATTTCTTGACGTTTTCGTTGCAACCGTGGTCGATTCACCCAAAGCACAGACTGCGATCGGATTTCTCTCAGCTGCCAATGGGTAAGGCTCTGGAAAGGGGCGCGGAAGTGGCCAAAAGTGTGGTTTTTGTTAGTGTGAAACAAATCACTTGTGGGGGTCACTAAGTTCAAGGTGGTCAAACCCCAGCTAATCAGCTGAGGATTGTGGTGATTTTGCTTCTTGGCGTGAACGAGGTCGCAGGTGGCAAGCGGTCTTTGGATTGGGTATGTTGGTGGAGCGGTTTGATATACAACAGGTTTATGGAAAAGGGTATTGTCGCTCGAAAGTCAGATCCGGTGGGTTCCGCCAAAATCTATTATAAGTTGCTTTCCCTAGGTATGTGGTTCCCACTTTATTATATCCAATTGAGCCGAAACTGAACCCCGAAACGCTTTTGAGCACACTTGCCGGAGTAAACTACCTTTCAACCCATTATTGAAAAGTGTTCATGAAGGCTGACCGCCAATGTTGAACTCATTGGGATGGCCATGGAGGGAAAGTCTCTTTGCACACAGTTTGCTCTGCTATGTTTTTGCTGTCAAGGGGGTCACCTTTGGCAAAAGGCATCCACAGTTACCAGATACCAAGCTGAGTGTCTTGTATTCTGACTGTATTCCAGTTTCCCCATTGTTTCCATGTTCCCTCCTAGGCTCAGCCTCTCAATGCTTTGGAATTTAGCCCGCAAGAAGCATGTTTGTTCTGGGATTTTCTCGCATTTCCAGGACCTCAAAGCTTGAAAAATATAGAGAACCCCAGGATCCAACCCCTCAGAATCCCTTGGGTCATCTTGGATCGGCATTGAGGTACTGGACCCTCATTAATCCACTTTGGGATTTACAGCCTGTTGATCTCTTGGGTCTGTGGGCGCATTTGCTGAACTGGCTGTGTCTTTTGCTCAGTTCCCTGGACCCAGATGGCAGGGTGGAGTTGATCCTTGATCAATGGACGTATGAAATATGGAGACATATGGGGACACATCCGGCTCACGGCACACATCATGGTCATCAGATGTCATCAGGATAGCCTGTAGCCATACATTGACACTTTTGCTCAACCTTTTCTTGCCTTAGAAGGCTTAGATCAACTATCACCGTATCACCCGTAGAAGATTGATAATACAGAGGGGAGGAACAACAACGAAGTGATGGAGACAAGAGTTGGAACGATGTTGATCAGTTATTGATATGGGGCTTGGATGTGAGTGACATTTAGAATAGCCCGTGTAATCTTGGGCATGGATACTATTGAAGATACAAAGTCAAAGATATGGAATGTTTTCCCAAACCGTCACCATACAATCACAGCACCAGATTTTCGGATCTCGAACTGGGCCTGTAGGGAACCAACTGCTCAACATGATCCACTGCTTGGATCTTCCGGGTAGTTTATTGTAATTTTTCGCACATGGAAAATATATCTCACCTGAAGGACCTGAAGTGATTAAGCCCAGTGGAATCCAGTCGACAAATATGACTCGGCATCCAAACCATACTCACATGTGGGCCAATCCTTGCAAGATCGAATGCATTCGAAGTCATTCCAAGCTCAGACCCTGAGGCTTTTTTGCGGCCCGCATTCCATGGTCCTTCAAGAACTTCATTTGGGGTTTGCTGCTAGTCCTGAAAGGGAATTGGGGACGGCCTCAGCATGTCCAGACTGTCACTGTATCATGCTGTGTTGCGCAAGTGTTTCAAAGATTTCTGCCATCTGATCGCCAAACCGCATGCAGAGGGCTTTGCAGTACCCGAATCTCAAGGGTGAAGTAAAGTCTTGTCGACACTGCCAAAAACCATAGTTTGCAAATTGTTTTCCATGTTTATTGCAGTGACCTGCAAGCACAAACAGTCTCAGACGTGCGGACAGCATGTTGTGATGGTGTCACACGTGCAGAGAGCTGATTGTCATGTTGGATCAACCTATTGTTTGGAGGGTCTTCCTTCTTACCTACCTCGGCTGGACTTTGATTCACTTCTTCGCGCAAATTGGTACCCCTAGTGGTTGCGAACTCTATATCGATCCGGATACCTTGCTGCAAAGAGGGGTTGGATCTCACATGGTCGCTAGAAGATGCTAGAAGCACATGCATGAGCTCTAATCTAAGTGTTCGAAAAGGTGACCCACAGCACAGATGGAGGTGGTCTTTCCGTGAAGGTCATTACAGGCAAGCGTGCAAGCCACAATGAGATAAGATTTCGAAGCGGGATTTGCAGAAAATTAATCACATGTACGGAACATCCTGTGCTACATCAGCAGCTGGCGATGATATTACTGAAACCCAGGTGGCCATCAGGTGGCCCACGGGAATTCCGTTAATTACTTAAATGAAACATAACAAAACCAAGATTTGAATGACAGCCAATTGGGAGGAATCCCAGAATGGAATGTGACATGCCGATAATATAGCCAATTCTTCCAATGTTCTCCGTGTCATTTGGTTTCAATGTTATCGGTACAGGCATTCCGGGCACACATCCGAGATGCCATCAACGCTGTCAGGAGTGCCCCATCTATGACGCGTTTGATTGGAATATGCCGATGATGACCACAATCATTACCATTTTTGCCTTGGTGGGATATGCCGTGCTCGCAGGACTCTACACGGCCTTCGCGCCTTTGAAGAAATATGTTGGGTGAGATTTGCGGTGAGAGTGTAAGCAAAATACAGATGGAACAATGCAAAGGCATCAAGCGTATCGAAAAACAGCTGCAACGAGAGCCCATCTTCAGAATGACAAGTTGCATGACCTTCAATGTAGTTGTGTCTATATTAGCAATGCCATGGGGTGACTCTTTGGAAGTAGAAGGCCCCTACAAATCATTCCATCGCATCATCTCTGCTGGCTGCGTCCGAGGTCCGTTGCCGCCAATGCTGCTTCCCCACGCCCGTGGGAGAAGTGGAAACCAAAGATGGACCTCAGAACGTTGAGACGATTGAGAACGCTGCCTAGGATGGGATGGGATAGGCACTTCTTCAGCCACCCAAAAATCCTGGAGATCATTGTGGGGCCGATGCTTGTGGATCTTGTGGCATGGCAATGGAGTGACACTATTTATATATCCGTGGTGTTTCAAACACGTTCTTCCATGTTGAATCAAGTTTTTGTTGGTGTCTATCCCCCACTTGGGAAGATGTTCGCGGTGATGCGCATGTTTGAAATGGATTGAACGCTTGAACCATCGCATCATGCATTGGTTCTTTCTGTGTTTGTTGCTATTCTCATTGAAATTGACTTCGTTTGGATTATTTACTGTCTACGTTTAGTTTGCGAGGATGATCTTCCCCTGCAAGAGCTGGCATGACATGCAATGACCCTTCCAGAACTTTCGGCCACCGGTCACCTAAAGGTCGTCGGATGTCATTATTATATAGACATATTTAGACATGAAGACGACGCAGCCCCGAAACATACTAAAACTGTAAAAACATGTTAAGTGTCCAGGTTCTTGGGGCTGCTTGTGGCCCTTATCCATGTCAGAATCCCAGAATCCATGTTGACACTTCCAAACTAGTGTCGGAACATGATGCTTTAATCGTGACATCACCCCACTCTGTTTTCAAAAGCCTTTGGGATTCACAATGCTCTCTGTCTCACTGCCAACCCCAAGAGCATGTGAGTTCCGCAGGTTGGCTCCTGTGTGCTGGGCCCATGGGGCCCATGGCTGCTCCCAGTGATGATTGCTTTTGGCAATCCAGCGGGAACCAAGCGGCAATTCTGCTTAGCAGAGATGCACTGCTGCACATTTTTGTATACTGTAATTAATTCCTGAAGACGTGGGCTGTATCATGATTGTATTATTCAGAGAGGGGAGGAAGTGTGGGGTGCGACAAGCCAAGAGAATGGCAGGGTTCTGTTGGGCCTTCAAAATGTTGCTAGTTGAGGCCGGAACATGATATCATCCACCCCGATCTTCGGGAAAATCATTTTGCCATTGGGGTGGCTGGTCGCAATCTGAAGAAAACAGTGGACCGGCCCGGCCCAGCGACTTTGTGATGCTGTCTTTCCTGCAGCAGAAACCTTCCAAATCAAAGCTTTGGCTCAAAAATGAGTTGCCTCAAGCTGTTTTTCTTGTTGGCCCTGTGAGGCTGAAAATCAGTCAGCAACCGAGGGCTGATCCGGCTCCTGTGAGGTTGCTTTTACAGCTCTCGGGGTTTGCATCAAAACAGATGCGCTTCGGGCACCTGAGCGAAGGAGGAGAAAAGATGAGCAGTTGCTTTGGCATGCTTCAGCTCCCCCTATCCAAGTCTATCTTTATCATCACCATCATCGTCACCATCATCATCATCATCATCATCATCATCCTCATCGTCATCGTCATCATCATCATCATCATCATCATCATCAACATCAACATCATCATCATCATCATCATCGTCATCGTCATCATCATCATCACCATCGTCGTCATCGTCATCCTCATCGTCATCACCATCGCCATCGTCATCGTCATCGTCATCGTCCTCCTCCTCCTCCTCCTCCTCCTCCTCCTCCTCCTCCTCACATCATCATCATCATGATCATCATGATCATCATGATCATCATCATCGTCACCATCATCATCATCATCATCACCATCATCATCATCATCACATCATCATCATCATCATCACCTTCATCATCATCATCATCATCATCCTCATCATCATCATCATCATCATATCCTCATCATCCTCATCATCCTCATCATCATCACCATCTTCATCATCATCATCATCCTCATCATCATCATCATCATCCATCATCATCATCACCATCATCATCATCATCATCATCACCATCACCATCCTCATCATCATCATCATCATCCTCATCATCATCATCATCATCATCATGATCATGATCATGATCATGATCATGGAGCACCATTCCCCTTGTGACATTACTGGCTTTGCTCGGACATTCCCCTTCTTCTGGAGCCTTTTTGGATCCGGGATCCAATCCCCAGCAGGCGATCAGGACCGAGACATAAATCCCTGCCATGACTGGCTGCTGCAACGTCTTCAAGGTTGAGCTCCGATGGCCCGAGCAGGCTCCCTTGGGCCTGGCCACACTGTTGGCTCAGGAATGTTCAGGAGAAGTCGTGATAATATGAACAAGGGAGAGAGATTTATGTCATTGCGTAAAATTGCTGCCGCAATCCAATGTCTTCTTTTGGCAAAGAGGGAAATCGATCAAAATAAAGTTTGAATATGTCACTTCGTGACCAAGTGTCGAAAGCTGCTCAGAAGTCCAGAATTTTTATAGATTACAGCAGACGTGCAATTTCTTCGACATAAAATTCAATATAATTAAACAATGTTAAACATGAGATTCGGCTCAGGCAGTTCTTGGGCGGTGGGTGGAATGAGACTCACTGCCGCCCTTGCTCATTGGTCGAAGAATCACATCCGTATGACCGAACGTACTATGCACATCTATGCACTACAGTAGATCTCCAATTCCAATCATAGCAATGACACAGTCCATGGGCAAAAAAAGCGATGTGGAAGATTTCCCAATGCAAAACTGTCAGATTTCTATATGCAAAGGTAGAGACCAAAGAATCGACGAGTTTTTGCACGAAAACTATAATTTTTCTTAGCTTAAGGCCCTCTTGCTTTAGCAAGGTATTAGCAGGGGCTGCAATCGCCAATCGCATGAAACTTCACAATTAAGTATCCCCCCGGCTTTTCCACAACCAGTTCTGCTTTGGCTCAAATCCCCAGTGCGGACATCGTCCCCGTATCGTCGTCAGCATCACCCTCCCAGCTCGCTTTCGTCTCTTACCCTTTGGCCTCAAGTTGGCTTAGCCAGATGCTTTTGGAACGCATTGATGGCAAAATTGCAAAAAGAGATGTATCGTTGAACAACTATCAGACTCGGGAAACAGGTGATAAAAATTAAAGGACCGAATAACCCCACATGTTACCAACTTCTTTAGACTTAGACTGAGCATAGAAAAGCAAGAAGGGAAGAGGAAGTATAAGAGTGGTGGAGCGGTGATGGTGGGTGAGTTTGTGTGTGTATGTATGTTCATGTACAGTGAGTGAGTGAGAGTGTGAGTGAGTGATGCGAGTGTGGTGTGTGTGTGTGAGTGAGGGATGTGAGAGTGAAGTGAAGTGAAGTGAAGTGAAGTGGAGTGGAGTGGAGTGAAGTGAAGTGAAGTGAAGTGAAGTGAAGTGAGTGGGTGAGTGAGGTAGGTGAGGTAGGTGAGGTAGGTGAGGTAGGTGAGGTAGGTGAGGTAGGTGAGGTAGGTGAGGTAGGTGAGGTAGGTGAGGTAGGTGAGTAGGTGAGGTAGGTGAGGTAGGTGAGGTAGGTGAGGTGGGTGAGGTAGGTGAGGTAGTGAGGTAGGTGAGGTAAGGTGAGGTAGTGGTGAGGTAGGTGAGGTAGGTGAGGTAGGTGAGGTAGGTGAGGTAGGTGAGGTAGGTGAGGTAGTGAGGTAGGTGAGGTAGGTGAGGCAGGTGAGGCAGGTGAGGTAGGTGAGTGAGTGAGGGAGGGAGGAAGGAGGGAGGGAGGGAGGGAGTGAGGGAGTGAGGGAGTGAGGGAGTGAGGGAGTGAAGGAGTGAGGGAGTGAGGGAGTGAGGGAGTGAGGGAGTGAGTGAGTGAGTGAGTGAGTGAGTGAGTGAGTGAGTGAGTGAGTGCCACGCCTGCCACGCAAAAGAGGAGGAGCCCGAGGGACGCCAGGGCGTACATCCGACCCCTTGGCAGTGCACATTGTCCCACGCCTGTACATCCGACCCCTTGGCAGTGCACAAAATTGTCTCACGCCTGCCACGCAAAAGCAGCGGAGCCCAACATTGTCCCACGCCTGCCACGCAAAAGACGCGGAGGCCGAGGGACGCCAGGGCGTACATCCGACCCCTTGGCAGTGCACATTGTCCCACGCCTGCCACGCAAAAGCAGCGGAGCCCAACATTGTCCCACGCCTGCCAGGGCCCGAGGGACGCCAGGGCGTACATCCGACCCCTTGGCAGTGCACATTGTCCCACGCCTGCCACGCAAAAGAGGAGGAGCCCGAGGGACGCCAGGGCGTACATCCGACCCCTTGGCAGTGCACATTGTCCCACGCCTGCCACGCAAAAGAGGCGGAGCCCGAGGGACGCCAGGGCGTACATCCGACCCCTTGGCAGTGCACATTGTCCCACGCCTGCCACGCAAAAGACGCGGAGCCCGAGGGACGCCAGGGCATACATCCGACCCTTGGCAGTGCACATTGTCCCACGCCTGCCACGCAAAAGCAGCGGAGCCCAAAAGACGCGGAGCCCGAGGGACGCCAGGGCGTACATCCGACCCCTTGGCAGTGCACATTGTCCCACGCCTGCCACGCAAAAGAGGCGGAGCCCGAGGGACGCCAGGGCGTACATCCGACCCCTTGGCAGTGCACATTGTCCCACGCCTGCCACGCAAAAGAGGCGGAGCCCGAGGGACGCCAGGGCGTACATCCGACCCCTTGGCAGTGCACATTGTCCCACGCCTGCCATGCAAAAGAGGTGGAGCCCGAGGGACGCCAGGGCGTACATCCGACCCCTTGGCAGTGCACATTGTCCCACGCCTGCCACGCAAAAGCAGCGGAGCTGAGTGAGTGAGTGAGTGAGTGAGTGAGAGAGAGTGAGTGAGTGAGTGAGTGAGTGAGTGAGTGATTGGGTGAGTGAGTGAGTGAGTGAGTGAGTGAGTGAGTGAATGAGAGAGTGAGTGAGTGAGTGAGAGAGTGAGTGAGTGTGAGTGAGTGAGTTAGTGAGTGAGTGAGTGAGTGAGTGAGTGAATGGGTGAGTGAGTGAGTGAGTGAGTGTGTGGGTGAGTCAGTGAGGTGAGGTGAGGTGAGGTGAGGTGAGGTGAGGTGAGGTGAGTGAGTGAGTGAGTAAAGACAAAAACCCCACACGTCAATGTGGGGAACTAGGAAGGTACACCAGACTGATCAGGTGTGGTTTCACGAACAATTGCTGCAATGATGCTCGTGCACCCTGCGTTAGTCTACATAAATTGTTAAGTTAATTAATCAAACCGTTGAATGACCAGGTCCTACCTGGAGAGCCTTATAGCCTCCACACTTGACTCTCCAGTCGAATAAAGTGTGGTTTTCCCCAACAGATTATTGGGAGAAGCCGGTTTAAGGGGGATATTCTCAAGGGTTTCTGATGCCGTCGATGACCGACAGACCGATCAGAAGTCAACCGGGGTGCCTGCGCAATGGCTCACAGAACCCACTGGAGATGATCATGAAAGTATCTAATAACGAAAGTGGGCCACGGTGCAACCCTTGGGTTGCAATACTTGGGGAGTCTAAGTAAGAAAGAAAAGGTTTGAGGTTTACCATCTGTTGCACACACAAGCGCGCACACACACACACCTACATTTTGAAGGTTGGATCTTACTCACTGCGACGCATTTCTTTGATATTAGACTTGTTCCATGGGATCTTGGCCCCAACTTTCAAGTACAGTATAAGGGGTGCAACCTAGTCCCCTGTGGGCTGCAGCGCGCAGATAGCAACGTCGAATTGGTTCCCACCACTGGTCTACACGATCTTCAACGGGCTCCTTGCGATTGTTTTTGTCGCATTTCTGATCATGATTCTCTCCGACAGCATCCCAGCACTTCGTCTTATTTAAACTAGCAGGTGCTGACCTTTTCTTTTGCAATGAGGCTAGGAAGGACCCACTGGCCATAGTGACAATTGACCGCTCAACAGCTCGGTGGATTGCCATATATTGCCATGCAGACCCCAATCATCACTGCTCCCAAACCTTGCCAATATTTTCAGGACATTGGCGCATTCTGGCTCATTTACCTGACAAATTGGGCATTGATCGTGGAAACGATTGCTATGGTGATGCTTTGCATCTCCACCGTGTGGGCGTACGCCAAGTTGCCTGATGGCCCCTCGCAGGGAAAGGCTCCCCTCTTTGTTCGCTACACTGTGGCCTTGTGGTATTTGATTCAGCCATTGTCATTGAACCTCGGACGCAACAACTTAAAATGATCTTAAATGCAGATGAAGCAATGATTAAAGGGTTGTTCTTTCATGTTCTTTCTAGGTTTGTGTGAATTCCATGTCCTTTTTGTCCAGTCAATCAGCATTGAAAGACTTTGACTTCATGATTGCACTAACTGAGCAGGCTGTGCTGGACAATTTGTTTTCGATAGCTTTTGATAGGAGGGTGAGTTCTTTTGTATTGCAGTCGTTTGTTGCAGGTTCCAGCGATGCTAGGTGCTTGCTAGTCATTCCTTCATTCATGCAGCAATGCAGTTTCGCATTTGTATACTGAATAAGTCTGGGCAAACCTTAGAGAGGCCCTGGCAAAAAAAAAATACCGGCAAGAGACCCCAAACAGTGTGGGGGGGGAGTGAAAGGATAATATATGATAATGTTGATGCTGATGTTGTTGATGATGATGATGACGATGATGATGATGTTGATGATGATGGTGATGATAATGATGATGGCAAGGGTGAGGGTGATGATGGTGATGATGTGATTATGGTGAGGATGATGGTGATGGTGAGGATGATGATGGTGAGGATGATGATGGTGAGGATGGTGATGGCGAGGATGGTGAGGATGAAGATGATGATGAAGAAGATGATGATGAGGATGAGGATGAGGACCCTGCGGAAGATGAAGTGGATGATAAGGTGGAGGACGATGATGTAGAGAAGGAGGAAGATGTTGATGTTGATGACGATGAACGGTGATGATGATGAGGATGAGGATGAGGATGAGGATGATGCGGATGATTTGATGATGATGATGTTGTTGATGATGATGATGATGCGGATGATTTGATGATGATGATGATGAAATGTGGAGGATGATGATGTAGAAAAGGAGGAAGATGATGATGGAGGAGGAGGATAATGTTGAGGAGGAGGATGACAAGGATGAACATGTTGCGGAAGATGAGGTGGATGATCATGATGTTGCGGAAGATGAGGTGGAGGATGATGATGTTGAGGATGATGATGTCAAGGGAGAGAAAGATGATGATTTGATGTTGAGGAGGAGGAAGATGATAATGTTGAGGATGATGAGGTTGAGGAGGAAGACCGGTCCCAAGACCGGGAAACACACTTTGTGCGAGCCTGAGTGGTCCAAAAGCATGTCCACATGTCACAAGAGACATCAGAAGAGCCACTTTAGACGGAAATTTACAGGAAAATGCGGCGGCCCAGATTCGGCCCAGAACGCAGACGAAGACTTTGTGCGAGCCTGCGCAGTCGAAATGCATGTCCACATGTCACAAGAGACATCACTATACCCACTTTATACGGAAATTTACGAGCAAAATGCCGCGGCCTAGGTGGGGCCCAGAACGCAGACACACGTTGAGCGAGCCTGCGCAGTCGAAACGCATGTCAAGATTTCACAAAAGCCACTCTATCCGGAAATTTACAGGTAAAATATGGTAAAATGCCGCAGACCAGAGTGAGCACCCTGGTCAAGCACCGGCCTGTACAGCTACCGCAAGAACCCCTCAGTGTGGACACACTGTTTGGGGAAATATTTACTGTTGTTCCATTTCATTCCCCTATTTCAGTGACCAGGGCTTCCATTAGAACTGGTGGAGACGGCCAGACATCCTGACATCAAACATTCAAAAAACATCTCGCACATTCTCGGCGATCAATTTCTTGACGTTTTCGTTGCAACCGTGGTCGATTCACCCAAAGCACAGACTGCGATCGAATTTCTCTCAGCTGCCAATGGGTAAGGCTCTGGAAAGGGGCGCAGAAGTGGCCAAAAGTGTGGTTTTTGTTAGTGTGAAACAAATCACTTGTGGGGGTCACTAAGTTCAAGGTGGTCAAACCCCAGCTAATCAGCTGAGGATTGTGGTGATTTTGCTTCTTGGCGTGAACGAGGTCGCAGGTGGCAAGCGGTCTTTGGATTGGGTATGTTGGTGGAGCGGTTTGATATACAACAGGTTTATGGAAAAGGGTATTGTAGCTCGAAAGTCAGATCCGGTGGGTTCCGCCAAAATCTATTATAAGTTGCTTTCCCTAGGTATGTGGTTCCCACTTTATTATATCCAATTGAGCCGAAACTGAACCCCGAAACGCTTTTGAGCACACTTGCCGGAGTAAACTACCTTTCAACCCATTATTGAAAAGTGTTCATGAAGGCTGACCGCCAATGTTGAACTCATTGGGATGGCCATGGAGGGAAAGTCTCTTTGCACACAGTTTGCTCTGCTATGTTTTTGCTGTCAAGGGGGTCACCTTTGGCAAAAGGCATCCACAGTTACCAGATACCAAACTGAGTGTCTTGTATTCTGACTGTATTCCAGTTTCCCCATTGTTTCCATGTTCCCTCCTAGGCTCAGCCTCTCAATGCTTTGGAATTTAGCCCGCAAGAAGCATGATTGTTCTGGGATTTTCTCGCATTTCCAGGACCTCAAAGCTTGAAAAATATAGAGAACCCCAGGATCCAACCCCTCAGAATCCCTTGGGTCATCTTGGATCGGCATTGAGGTACTGGACCCTCATTAATCCACTTTGGGATTTACAGCCTGTTGATCTCTTGGGTCTGTGGGCGCATTTGCTGAACTGGCTGTGTCTTTTGCTCAGTTCCCTGGACCCAGATGGCAGGGTGGAGTTGATCCTTGATCAATGGACGTATGAAATATGGAGACATATGGAGACACATCCGGCTCACGGCACACATCATGGTCATCAGATGTCATCAGGATAGCCTGTAGCCATACATTGACACTTTTGCTCAACCTTTTCTTGCCTTAGAAGGCTTAGATCAACTATCACCGTATCACCCGTAGAAGATTCATCATACAGAGGGGAGGAACAACAACGAAGTGATGGAGACAAGAGTTGGAACGATGTTGATCAGTTATTGATATGGGGCTTGGATGTGAGTGACATTTAGAATAGCCCGTGTAATCTTGGGCATGGATACTATTGAAGATACAAAGTCAAAGATTTGGAATGTTTTCCCAAACCGTCACCATACAATCACAGCACCAGATTTTCGGATCTCGAACTGGGCCTGTAGGGAACCAACTGCTCAACATGATCCACTGCTTGGATCTTCCGGGTAGTTTATGGTAATTTTGCGCACATGGAAAATATATCTCACCTGAAGGACCTGAAGTGATTAAGCCCAGCGGAATCCAGTCGACAAATATGACTCGGCATCCAAACCATACTCACATGTGGGCCAATCCTTGCAAGATCGAATGCATTCGAAGTCATTCCAAGCTCAGACCCTGAGGCTTTTTTGCGGCCCGCATTCCATGGTCCTTCAAGAACTTCATTTGGGGTTTGCTGCTAGTCCTGAAAGGGAATTGGGGACGGCCTCAGCATGTCCAGACTGTCACTGTATCATGCTGTGTCGCGCAAGTGTTTCAAAGATTTCTGCCATCTGATCGCCAAACCGCATGCAGAGGGCTTTGCAGTACCCGAATCTCAAGGGTGAAGTAAAGTCTTGTCGGCACTGCCAAAAACCATAGTTTGCAAATTGTTTTCCATGTTTATTGCAGTGACCTGCAAGCACAAACAGTGTCAGACGTGCGGACAGCATGTTGTGATGGTGTCACACGTGCAGAGAGCTGATTGTCATGTTGGATCAACCTATCGTTTGGAGGGTCTTCCTTCTTACCTACCTCGGCTGGACTTTGATTCACTTCTTCGCGCAAATTGGTACCCCTCGTGGTTGCGAACTCTATATCGATCCGGATACCTTGCTGCAAAGAGGGGTTGGATCTCACATGGTCGCTAGAAGATGCTAGAAGCACATGCATGAGCTCTAATCTAAGTGTTCGAAAAGGTGACCCACAGCACAGATGGAGGTGGTCTTTCCGTGAAGGTCATTACAGGCAAGCGTGCAAGCCACAATGAGATAAGATTTCGAAGCGGGATTTGCAGAAAATTAATCACATGTACGGAACATCCTGTGCTACATCAGCAGCTGGCGATGATATTACTGAAACCCAGGTGGCCATCAGGTGGCCCACGGGAATTCCGTTAATTACTTAAATGAAACATAACAAAACCAAGATTTGAATGACAGCCAATTGGGAGGAATCCCAGAATGGAATGTGACATGCCGATAATATAGCCAATTCTTCCAATGTTCTCCGTGTCATTTGGTTTCAATGTTATCGGTACAGGCATTCCGGGCACACATCCGAGATGCCATCAACGCTGTCAGGAGTGCCCCATCTATGACGCGTTTGATTGGAATATGCCGATGATGACCACAATCATTACCATTTTTGCCTTGGTGGGATATGCCGTGCTCGCAGGACTCTACACGGCCTTCGCGCCTTTGAAGAAATATGTTGGGTGAGATTTGCGGTGAGAGTGTAAGCAAAATACAGTTGGAACAATGCAAAGGCATCAAGCGTATCGAAAAACAGCTGCAACGAGAGCCCATCCTCAGAATGACAAGTTGCATGACCTTCAATGTAGTTGTGTCTATATTAGCAATGCCATGGGGTGACTCTTTGGAAGTAAAAGGCCCCTACAAATCATTCCATCGCATCATCTCTGCTGGCTGCGTCCGAGGTCCGTTGCCGCCAATGCTGCTTCCCCACGCCCGTGGGAGAAGTGGAAACCAAAGATGGACCTCAGAACATTGAGACGATTGAGAACGCTGCCTAGGATGGGATGGGATAGGCACTTCTTCAGCCACCCAAAAATCCTGGAGATCATTGTGGGGCCGATGCTTGTGGCATGGCAATGGAGTGACTCTATTTATATATCCGTGGTGTTTCAAACACGTTCTTCCATGTTGAATCAAGTTTTTGTTGGTGTCTATCCCCCACTTGGGAAGATGTTCGCGGTGATGCGCATGTTTGAAATGGATTGAAGGTTTGAACCATCGCATCATGCATTGGTTCTTTCTGTGTTTGTTGCTATTCTCATTGAAATTGACTTCGTTTGGATTATTTACTGTCTACGTTTAGTTTGCGAGGATGATCTTCCCCTGCAAGAGCTGGCATGACATGCAATGACCCTTCCGGAACTTTCGGCCACCGGTCACCTAATATATTTAGACATGAAGACGATGCAGCCCCGAAACATACTAAAACTGTATAAACATGTCAAGTGTCCAGGTTCTTGGGGCTGCTTGGGGCCCTTATCCATGTCAGAATCCCAGAATCCATGTTGACACTTCAAAACTAGTGTCGGAACATGATGCTTTAATCGTGACATCACTCCACTCTGTTTTCAAAAGCCTTTGGGATTCACAATGCTCTCTGTCTCACTGCCAACCCCAAGAGCATGTGAGTTCCGCAGGTTGGCTCCTGTGTGCTGGGCCCATGGGGCCCCATGGCTGCTCCCAGTGATGATTGCTTTTGGCAATCCAGCGGGAACCAAGCGGCAATTCTGCTTAGCAGAGATGCACTGCTGCACATTTTTGTATACTGCAATTAATTCCTGAAGACGTGGGCTGTATCATGATTGTATCATTCAGAGAGGGGAGGAAGTGTGGGGTGCGACAAGCCAAGAGAATGGCAGGGTTCTGTTGGGCCTTCAAAATGTTGCTAGTTGAGGCCGGAACATGATATCATCCACCCCGATCTTCGGGAAAATCACCATTTTGCCATTGGGGTGGCTGGTCGCAATCTGAAGAAAACAGTGGACCGGCCCGGCCCAGCGACTTTGTGATGCTGTCTTTCCTGCAGCAGAAACCTTCCAAATCAAAGCTTTGGGACTCAAAAGTGAGTTGCCTCAAGCTGTTTTTCTTGTTGGCCCTGTGAGGCTGAAAATCAGTCAGCAACCGAGGGCTGATCCGGCTCCTGTGGGGTTGCTTTTACAGCTCTCGGGGTTTGCATCAAAACAGATGCGCTTCGGGCACCTGAGCGAAGGAGGAGAAAAGATGAGCAGTTGCTTTGGCATGCTTCAGCTCCCCCTGTCCAAGTCTATCTTTATCATCATCATCATCATCATCATCACCATCATCGTCATCGTCATCCTCCTCCTCCTCCTGCTCCTCCTCCTCCTCCTCCTCACATCATCATCATGATCATCATGATCATCATCATCGTCACCATCATCTTCACCATCACCATCATCATCATCATCATCGTCATCGTCATCGTCATCATCATCACCATCATCATCATCATCCTCTTCATCTTCATCATCATCATCACCATCACCATCATCATCATCATCATCAACATCATCCGCATCATAATCATCATCCTCATCATCATATCATCATCATCATCATCATCATCATCATGGAGCACCATTCCCCTGTGGACATTACTGGCACATTACTAGGACCTTCCCCTTCTTCTGGAGCCTTTTTGGATCCGGGATCCAATCCCCAGCAGGCGATCAGGACCGAGACATAAATCCCTGCCATGACTGGCTGCTGCAACGTCTTCAAGGTTGAGCTCCGATGGCCCGAGCAGGCTCCATTGGGCCTGGCCACACTGTTGGTTCAGGAATCTTCAGGAGAAGTCGTGATAATATGAACAAGGGAGAGAGATTTATGTCATTGCGCAAAATTGCTGCCGCAATCCAATGTCTTCTTTAGGCAAAGAGGGAAATCGATCAAAATAAAGTTTGAATATGTCACTTCGTGACCAAGTGTCAAAAGCTGCTCAGAAGTCCAGAATTTATAGACAGCAGACGTGCAATTTCTTCGACATAAAATTCAATATAATTAAACAATGTTAAACATGAGATTCGGCTCAGGCAGTTCTTGGGCGGTGGGTGGAATGAGACTCACTGCCGCCCTTGCTCATTGGTCGAAGAATCACATCCGTATGATTGAACGTACTTTGCACATCTATGCACTAGATCTCCAATTCCAATCAAAGCAATGACAAAGTCCATGGGCAAAAAAAAGATGTGGAAGATTTCCCAATGCAACACTGTCAGATTTCTATATGCAAAGGTAGAGACCAAAGAATCGACGAGTTTTTTCACAAAAACTATAGTTTTTCTTGGCTTAAGGCCCTCTTGCTTTAGCAAGGTATTAGCAGGGGCTGCAATCGCCAATCGCATGAAACTTCACAATTAAGTATCCCCCCCGGCTTTTCCACAACCAGTTCTGCTTTGGCTCAAATCCCCAGTGCGGACATCGTCCCCGTATCGTCGTCAGCATCACCCTCCCAGCTCGCTTTCGTCTCTTACCCTTTGGCCTCAAGTTGGCTTAGCCAGATGCTTTTGGAACGCATTGATGGCAAAATTCCAAAAAGAGATATATCGTTGAACAACTATCAGACTCGGGAAACAGGTGATAAAAACCAGGAAGGTACACCAGACTGATCAGGTGTGGTTTCACCAACAATTGCTGCAATGGTGCTCGTGCACCCTGCGTTAGTCTACATAAATTGTTAAGTTAATTAATCAAATCGTTGAATGACCAGGTCCTACCTGGAGAGCCTTATAGCCTCCACACTTGACTCTCCAGTCGAATAAAGTGTGGTTTTCCCCAACAGATTATTCGGAGAAGCCGGTTTAAGGGGGATATTCTCAAGGGTTTCTGATGCCGTCGATGACCGACAGATCAGAAGTCAATCGGGGTGCCTGCGCAATGGCTCACAGAACCCACTGGAGATGATCATGAAAGTATCTAATAACAAAAGTGGGCCACGGTGCAACCCTTGGGCTGCAATACTTGGGGAGTCTAAGTAAGAAAGAAAAGGTTTGAGGTTTACCATCTGTTGCACACACAAGCGCACACACGCACACACCTACATTTTGACAGTTGGATCTTACTCACTGCGACGCATTTCTTTGATATTAGACTTGTTCCATGGGATCTTGGCCCCAACTTTCAAGTACAGTATAAGGGGTGCAACCTAGTCCCCTGTGGGCTGCAGCGCGCAGATAGCAACGTCGAATTGGTTCCCACCACTGGTCTACACGATCTTCAACGGGCTCCTTGCGATTGTTTTTGTCGCATTTCTGATCATGATTCTCTCCGACAGCATCCCAGCACTTCGTCTTATTTAAACTAGCAGGTGCTGACCTTTTCTTTTGCAATGAGGCTAGGAAGGACCCACTGGCCATAGTGACAATTGACCGCTCAACAGCTCGGTGGATTGCCATATATTGCCATGCAGACCCCAATCATCTCCCAAACCTTGCTAATATTTTCAGGACATTGGCGCATTCTGGCTCATTTACCTGACAAATTGGGCATTGATCGTGGAAACGATTGCTATGGTGATGCTTTGCATCTCCACCGTGTGGGCGTACGCCAAGTTGCCTGATGGCCCCTCGCAGGGAAAGGCTCCCCTCTTTGTTCGCTACACTGTGGCCTTGTGGTATTTGATTCAGCCATTGTCATTGAACCTCGGACGCAACAACTTAAAATGATCTTAAATGCAGATGAAGCAATGATTAATGAAGGGTTGTTCTTTCATGTTCTTTCTAAGTTTGTGTGAATTCCATGCCCTTTTTTTGTCCAGTCAATTAGCATTGAAAGACTTTAACTTCATGATTGCACTAACTGAGCAGGCTGTGCTGGACAATTTGTTTTCGATAGCTTTTGATCGGAGGGTGAACTCTTTTGTATTGCAGTCGTTTGTTGCAGGTTCCAGCGATGCTAGGTGCTTGCTAGTCATTCCTTCATTCAGCAATGCAGTTTTGCATTTGTATACTGAATAAGTCTGGGCAAACCTTAGAGAGGCCCTGGCAAAACAAAAAAAAAACAAAAACAAATCCCGGCAAGAGACCCCACACAGTGTGGGGGGGAGTGAAAGGATAATGTTGATGTTGATGATGATGATGATGATGACGATGATGATGATGTTGATGATGATGGTGGTGATAATGATGATGATGATGATGATGATGATGATGATGATGATGATGAGGGTGATGATGGTGAAGATGAGGATGATGATGATGATGATGCGGATGATTTGATGATGATGATGATGATGGTGATTATGGTGAGGATGATGGTGATGGTGAGGATGATGATGGTGAGGATGGTGATGGCGAGGATGGTGAGGATGAAGATGATGAAGATGATGATGATGATGATAAAATTTGGAGGATGATGATGTAGAGAAGGAGGAAGATGATGATGTTGAGGAGGATAATGTTGAGGAGGAGGATGACAAGGATGAACATGTTGCGGAAGATGAGGTGGATGATCATGATGTTGCGGAAGATGAGGTGGAGGATGATGAGGTTGAGGATGATGATGTCAAGGGAGAGAAAGATGATGATTTGATGTTGAGGAGGAGGAAGATGATAATGTTGAGGATGATGAGGTTGAGGAGGAAGACCGGTCCCAAGACCGGGAAACACACTTTGTGCGAGCCTGAGTGGTCCAAAAGCATGTCCACATGTCACAAGAGACATCAGAAGAGCCACTTTAGACGGAAATTTACAGGAAAAATGCGGCGGCCCAGATTCGGCCCAGAACGCAGACGAAGACTTTGTGCGAGCCTGCGCAGTCGAAATGCATGTCCACATGTCACAAGAGACATCACTATACCCACTTTATACGGAAATTTACAAGCAAAATGCCGCGGCCTAGGTGGGGCCCAGAACGCAGACACACCTTGAGCGAGCCTGCGCAGTCGAAACGCATGTCAAGATTTCACAAGAGCCACTCTATCCGGAAATTTACAGGTAAAACATGGTAAAATGCCGCAGACCAGAGTCAGCACCCTGGTCAAGCACCGGCCTGTACAGCTACCGCAAGAACCCCTCAGTGTGGACACACTGTTTGGGGAAATATTTACTGTTGTTCCATTTCATTCCCCTATTTCAGTGACCAGGGCTTCCATTAGAACTGGTGGAGACGGCCAGACATCCTGACATCAAACATTCAAAAAACATCTCGCACATTCTCGGCGATCAATTTCTTGACGTTTTCGTTGCAACCGTGGTCGATTCACCCAAAGCACAGACTGCGATCGAATTTCTCTCAGCTGCCAATGGGTAAGGCTCTGGAAAGGGGCGCAGAAGTGGCCAAAAGTGTGGTTTTTGTTAGTGTGAAACAAATCACTTGTGGGGGTCACTAAGTTCAAGGTGGTCAAACCCCAGCTAATCAGTTGAGGATTGTGGTGATTTTGCTTCTTGGCGTGAACGAGGTCGCAGGTGGCAATGGGTCTTTGGACTGGGTATGTTGGTGGAGCGGTTTGATATACAACAGGTTTATGGAAAAGGGTATTGTAGCTCGAAAGTCAGATCCGGTGGGTTCCGCCAAAATCTATTATAAGTTGCTTTCCCTATGTATGTGGTTCCCACTTTATATCCAATTGAGCCGAAACTGAACCCCGAAACGCTTTTGAGCACACTTGCCGGAGTAAACTACCGTTCAACCCATTATTGAAAAGTGTTCATGAAGGCTGACCGCCAATGTTGAACTCATTGGGATGGCCATGGAGGGAAAGTCTCTTTGCACACAGTTTGCTCTGCTATGTTTTTGCTGTCAAGGGGGTCACCTTTGGCAAAAGGCATCCACAGTTACCAGATACCAAGCTGAGTGTCTTGTATTCTGACTGTATTCCAGTTTCCCCATTGTTTCCATGTTCCCTCCTAGGCTCAGCCTCTCAATGCTTTGGAATTTAGCCCGCATAGAAGCATGTTTGTTCTGGGATTTTCTCGCATTTCCAGGACCTCAAAGCTTGAAAAATATAGAGAACCCCAGAATCCAACCCCTGAGAATCCCTTGGATCATCTTGGATCGGCATCGAGGTACTGGACCCTCATTAATCCACTTTGGGATTTACAGCCTGTTGATCTCTTGGGTCTGTGGGCGCATTTGCTGAACTGGCTGTGTCTTTTGCTCAGTTCCCTGGACCCAGATGGCAGGGTGGAGTTGATCCTTGATCAATGGACGTATGAAATATGGAGACATATGGAGACACATCCGGCTCACGGCACACATCATGGTCATCAGATGTCATCAGGATAGCCTGTAGCCATACATTGACACTTTTGCTCAACCTTTTCTTGCCTTAGAAGGCTTAGATCAACTATCACCGTATCACCCGTAGAAGATTGATAATACAGAGGGGAGGAACAACAACGAAGTGATGGAGACAAGAGTTGGAACGATGTTGATCAGTTATTGATATGGGGCTTGGATGTGAGTGACATTTAGAATAGCCCGTGTAATCTTGGGCATGGATACTATTGAAGATACAAAGTCAAAGATTTGGAATGTTTTCCCAAACCGTCACCATACAATCACAGCACCAGATTTTCGGATCTCGAACTGGGCCTGTAGGGAACCAACTGCTCAATATAATCCACTGCTTGGATCTTCCGGGTAGTTTATGGTAATTTTGCGCACATGGAAAATATATCTCACCTGAAGGACCTGAAGTGATTAAGCCCAGTGGAACCCAGTCGACAAATATGACTCGGCATCCAAACCATACTCACATGTGGGCCAATCCTTGCAAGATCGTTTGCGTTCGAAGTCATTCCAAGCTCAGACCCTGAGGCTTTTTTGCGGCCCGCATTCCATGGTCCTTCAAGAACTTCATTTGGGGTTTGCTGCTAGTCCTGAAAGGGAATTGGGGACGGCCTCAGCATGTGCAGACTGTCACTGTATCATGCTGTGTTGCGCAAGTGTTTCAAAGATTTCTGCCATCTGATCGCCAAACCGCATGCAGAGGGCTTTGCAGTACCCGAATCTCAAGGGTGAAGTAAAGTCTTGTCGACACTGCCAAAAACCATAGTTTGCAAATTGTGTTCCATGTTTATTGCAGTGACCTGCAAGCACAAACAGTCTCAGACGTGCGGACAGCATGTTGTGATGGTGTCACACGTGCAGAGAGCTGATTGTCATGTTGGATCAACCTATCGTTTGGAGGGTCTTCCTTCTTACCTACCTCGGCTGGACTTTGATTCACTTCTTCGCGCAAATTGGTACCCCTAGTGGTTGCGAACTCTATATCGATCCGGATACCTTGCTGCAAAGAGGGGTTGGATCTCACATGGTCGCTAGAAGATGCTAGAAGCACATGCATGGGCTCTAATCTAAGTGTTCGAAAAGGTGACCCACAGCACAGATGGAGGTGGTCTTTCCGTGAAGGTCATTACAGGCAAGCGTGCAAGCCACAATGAGATAAGATTTCGAAGCGGAATTTGCAGAAAATTAATCACATGTACGGAACATCCTGTGCTACATCAGCAGCTGGCGATGATATTACTGAAACCCAGGTGGCCATCAGGTGGCCCACGGGAATTCCGTTAATTACTTCAATGAAACATAACAAAACCAAGATTTGAATGACAGCCAATTGGGAGGAATCCCAGAATGGAATGTGACATGCCGATAATATAGCCAATTCTTCCAATGTTCTCCGTGTCATTTGGTTTCAATGTTATCGGTACAGGCATTCCGGGCACACATCCGAGATGCCATCAACGCTGTCAGGAGTGCCCCATCTATGACGCGTTTGATTGGAATATGCCGATGATGACCACAATCATTACCATTTTTGCCTTGGTGGGATATGCCGTGCTCGCAGGACTCTACACGGCCTTCGCGCCTTTGAAGAAATATGTTGGGTGAGATTTGCGGTGAGAGTGTAAGCAAAATACAGTTGGCACAATGCAAAGGCATCAAGCGTATCGAAAAACAGCTGCAACGAGAGCCCATCTTCAGAATGACAAGTTGCATGACCTTCAATGTAGTTGTCTCTATATTAGCAATGCCATGGGGTGACTCTTTGGAAGTAAAAGGCCCCTACAAATCATTCCATCGCATCATCTCTGCTGGCTGCCTGCGTCCGAGGTCCGTTGCCGCCAATGCTGCTTCCCCACGCCCGTGGGAGAAGTGGAAACCAAAGATGGACCTCAGAACGTTGAGACGATTGAGAACGCTGCCTAGGATGGGATGGGATAGGCACTTCTTCAGCCACCCAAAAATCCTGGAGATCATTGTGGGGCCGATGCTTGTGGCATGGCAATGGAGTGACACTATTTATATATCCGTGGTGTTTCAAACACGTTCTTCCATGTTGAATCAAGTTTTTGTTGGTGTCTATCCCCCACTTGGGAAGATGTTCGCGGTGATGCGCATGTTTGAAATGGATTGAACGTTTGAACCATCGCATCATGCATTGGTTCTTTCTGTGTTTGTTGCTATTCTCATTGAAATTGACTTCGTTTGGATTATTTACTGTCTACGTTTAGTTTGCGAGGATGATCTTCCCCTGCAAGAGCTGGCATGACATGCAATGACCCTTCCGGAACTTTCGGCCACCGGTCACCTAATATATTTAGACATGAAGACGATGCAGCCCCGAAACATACTAAAACTGTATAAACATGTCAAGTGTCCAGGTTCTTGGGGCTGCTTGGGGCCCTTATCCATGTCAGAATCCCAGAATCCATGTTGACACTTCAAAACTAGTGTCGGAACATGATGCTTTAATCGTGACATCACTCCACTCTGTTTTCAAAAGCCTTTGGGATTCACAATGCTTTCTGTCTCACTGCCAACCCCAAGAGCATGTGAGTTCCGCAGGTTGGCTCCTGTGTGCTGGGCCCATGGGGCCCATGGCTGCTCCCAGTGATGATTGCTTTTGGCAATCCAGCGGGAACCAAGCGGCAATTCTGCTTAGCAGAGATGCACTGCTGCACATTTTTGTATACTGCAATTAATTCCTGAAGACGTGGGCTGTATCATGATTGTATTATTCAGAGAGGGGAGGAAGTGTGGGGTGCGACAAGCCAAGAGAATGGCAGGGTTCTGTTGGGCCTTCAAAATGTTGCTAGTTGAGGCCGGAACATGATATCATCCACCCCGATCTTCGGGAAAATCATTTTGCCATTGGGGTGGCTGGTCGCAATCTGAAGAAAACAGTGGACCGGCCCGGCCCAGCGACTTTGTGATGCTGTCTTTCCTGCAGCAGAAACCTTCCAAATCAAAGCTTTGGGACTCAAAGTGAGTTGCCTCAAGCTGTTTTTCTTGTTGGCCCTGTGAGGCTGAAAATCAGTCAGCAACCGAGGGCTGATCCGGCTCCTGTGGGGTTGCTTTTACAGCTCTCGGGGTTTGCATCAAAACAGATGCGCTTCGGGCACCTGAGCGAAGGAGGAGAAAAGATGAGCAGTTGCTTTGGCATGCTTCAGCTCCCCCTATCCAAGTCTATATTATTTATCATCATCATCATCATCACCATCGTCGTCATCGTCATAATCATCATCATCCTCCTCCTCCTCCTCCTCCTGCTCCTCCTCCTCCTCCTCACATCATCATCATGATCATCATGATCATCATCATCATCATCGTCACCATCATCGTCACCATCATCATCATCATCATCGTCGTCGTCGTCGTCGTCGTCGTCATCGTCATCGTCATCATCATCACCATCATCCTCACCATCATCATTATCATCATCATCATCATCATCTTCATCATCATCATCATCATCATGGAGCACCATTCCCCTGTGGACATTACTGGCACATTACTAGGACCTTCCCCTTCTTCTGGAGCCTTTTTGGATCCGTGATCCAATCCCCAGCAGGCGATCAGGACCGAGACATAAATCCCTGCCATGACTGGCTGCTGCAACGTCTTCAAGGTTGAGCTCCGATGGCCCGAGCAGGCTCCCTTGGGCATGGCCACACTGTTGGTTCAGGAATGTTCAGGAGAAGTCGTGATAATATGAACAAGGGAGAGAGATTTATGTCATTGCGTAAAATTGCTGCCGCAATCCAATGTCTTCTTTAGGCAAAGAGGGAGATCGATCAAAATAAAGTTTGAATATGTCACTTCGTGACCAAGTGTCAAAAGCTGCTCAGAAGTCCAGAATTTATAGATTACAGCAGACGTGCAATTTCTTCGACATAAGATTCAATATAATTAAGCAATGTTAAACATGAGATTCGACTCAGGCAGTTCTTGGGCGGTGGGTGGAATGAGACTCACTGCCGCCCTTGCTCATTGGTCGAAGAATCACATCCGTATGACCGAACGTACTATGCACATCTATGCACTAGATCTCCAATTCCAATCATAGCAATGACACAGTCCATGGGCAAAAAAAGCGATGTGGAAGATTTCCCAATGCAACACTGTCAGATTTCTATATGCAAAGGTAGAGACCAAAGAATCGACGAGTTTTTTCACGAAAACTATAGTTTTTCTTAGCTTAAGGCCCTCTTGCTTTAGCGAGGTATTGGCAGGGGCTGCAATCGCCAATCGCATGAAACTTCACAATTAAGTACCCCCCCGGCTTTTCCACAACCAGTTCTGCTTTGGCTCAAATCTCCAGTGCGGACATCGTCCCCGTATCGTCGTCAGCATCACCCTCCCAGCTCGCTTTCGTCTCTTACCCTTTGGCCTCAAGTTGGCTTAGCCAAATGCTTTTGGAACGCATTGATGGCAAAATTTCAAAAGGAGATATATCGTTGAACAACTATCAGACTCGGGAAACAGGTGATAAAAACCAGGAAGGTACACCAGACTGATCAGGTGTGGTTTCACCAACAATTGCTGCAATGGTGCTCGTGCACCCTGCGTTAGTCTACATAAATTGTTAAGTTAATTAATCAAATCGTTGAATGACCAGGTCCTACCTGGAGAGCCTTATAGCCTCCACACTTGACTCTCCAGTCGAATAAAGTGTGGTTTTCCCCAACAGATTATTCGGAGAAGCCGGTTTAAGGGGGATATTCTCAAGGCTTTCTGATGCCGTCGATGACCGACAGACCGATCAGAAGTCAATCGGGGTGCCTGCGCAATGGCTCACAGAACCCACTGGAGATGATCATGAAAGTATCTAATAACAAAAGTGGGCTTCTGTGCAACCCTTGGGCTGCCATACTTGGGGAGTCTAAGTAAGAAAGAAAAGGTTTGAGGTTTACCATCTGTTGCACACACAAGCGCACACACGCACACACACCTACATTTTGACAGTTGGATCTTACTCACTGTGACGCATTTCTTTGATATTAGACTTGTTCCATGGGATCTTGGCCCCAACTTTCAAGATCTTTCAAGTACAGTATAAGGGGTGCAACCTAGTCCCCTGTCGGCTGCAGCGCGCAGATAGCAACGTCGAATTGGTTCCCACCACTGGTCTACACGATCTTCAACGGGCTCCTTGCGATTGTTTTTGTCGCATTTCTGATCATGATTCTCTCCGACAGCATCCCAGCACTTCGTCTTATTTAAACTAGCAGGTGCTGACCTTTTCGTTTGCAATGAGGCTAGGAAGGACTCACTGGCCATAGTGACAATTGACCGCTCAACAGCTCGGTGGATTGCCATATATTGCCATGCAGACCCCAATCATCACTGCTCCCAAACCTTGCCAATATTTTCAGGACATTGGCGCATTCTGGCTCATTTACCTGACAAATTGGGCATTGATCGTGGAAACGATAGCTATGGTCATGCTTTGCATCTCCACCGTGTGGGCGTACGCCAAGTTGCCTGATGGCCCCTCGCAGGGAAAGGCTCCCCTCTTTGTTCGCTACACTGTGGCCTTGTGGTATTTGATTCAGCCATTGTCATTGAACCTCGGACGCAACAACTTAAAATGATCTTAAATGCGGATGAAGCAATGATTAATGAAGGGTTGTTCTTTCATGTTCTTTCTAGGTTTGTGTGAATTCCATGTCCTTTTTTGTCCAGTCAATCAGCATTGAAAGACTTTGACTTCATGATTGCACTAACTGAGCAGGCTGTGCTGGACAATTTGTTTTCGATAGCTTTTGATAGGTGGGTGAGTTCTTGTGTATTGCAGTCGTTCGTTGCAGGTTCCAGCGATGCTAGGTGCTTGCTAGTCATTCCTTCATTCAGCAATGCAGTTTTGCATTTGTATACTGAATAAGTCTGGGCAAACCTTAGAGAGGCCCTGGCAAAAAAAAAAAACAAATCCCGGCAAGAGACCCCACACAGTGTGGGGGGGAGTGAAAGGATAATATATGATAATGTTGATGACGATGGTGATGATAATGATGATGGTGAGGGTGAGGGTGATGATGGTGAAGAAGAAGAAGAAGATGATGATGATGACGATGATGATGATGATTATGGTGAGGATGATGGTGATGGTGAGGATGATGATGGTGAGGACGGTGAGGATGGTGAAGATGGTGATGGCGAGGATGGTGAGGGTGAAGATGATGATGAAGATGATGATGATGATGATGGTGATGATGATGATGATGAGGATGAGGATGATGAAGTGGATGATAAGGTGGAGGACGATGATGTAGAGAAGGAGGAAGATGTTGATGTTGATGAGGATGAACGGTGATGATGATGATGATGATGAGGATGAGCATGAGGATGAGGATGATGATGAGGATGATGCGGATGATTTGATGATGATGATGCTGATGATGATGATGATGAAATGTGGAGGATGATGATGTAGAGAAGGAGGAAGATGATGATGTTGAGGAGGATAATATTGAGGAGGAGGATGACAAGGATGAACATGTTGCGGAAGATGAGGTGGATGATCATGATGTTGCGGAAGATGAGGTGGAGGATGATGAGGTTGAGGATGATGATGTCAAGGGAGAGAAAGATGATGATTTGATGTTGAGGAGGAGGAAGATGATAATGTTGAGGATGATGAGGTTGAGGAGGAAGACCGGTCCCAAGACCGGGAAACACACTTTGTGCGAGCCTGAGTGGTCCAAAAGCATGTCCACATGTCACAAGAGACATCAGAAGAGCCACTTTAGACGGAAATTTACAGGAAAAATGCGGCGGCCCAGATTCGGCCCAGAACGCAGACGAAGACTTTGTGCGAGCCTGCGCAGTCGAAATGCATGTCCACATGTCACAAGAGACATCACTATACCCACTTTATACGGAAATTTACAAGCAAAATGCCGCGGCCTAGGTGGGGCCCAGAACGCAGACACACGTTGAGCGAGCCTGCGCAGTCGAAACGCATGTCAAGATTTCACAAGAGCCACTCTATCCGGAAATTTACAGGTAAAATATGGTAAAATGCCGCAGACCAGAGTGAGCACCCTGGTCAAGCACCGGCCTGTACAGCTACCGCAAGAACCCCTCAGTGTGGACACACTGTTTGGGGAAATATTTACTGTTGTTCCATTTCATTCCCCTATTTCAGTGACCAGGGCTTCCATTAGAACTGGTGGAGACGGCCAGACATCCTGACATCAAACATTCAAAAAACATCTCGCACATTCTCGGCGATCAATTTCTTGACGTTTTCGTTGCAACCGTGGTCGATTCACCCAAAGCACAGACTGCGATCGAATTTCTCTCAGCTGCCAATGGGTAAGGCTCTGGAAAGGGGCGCAGAAGTGGCCAAAAGTGTGGTTTTTGTTAGTGTGAAACAAATCACTTGTGGGGGTCACTAAGTTCAAGGTGGTCAAACCCCAGCTAATCAGTTGAGGATTGTGGTGATTTTGCTTCTTGGCGTGAACGAGGTCGCAGGTGGCAATGGGTCTTTGGACTGGGTATGTTGGTGGAGCGGTTTGATATACAACAGGTTTATGGAAAAGGGTATTGTAGCTCGAAAGTCAGATCCGGTGGGTTCCGCCAAAATCTATTATAAGTTGCTTTCCCTAGGTATGTGGTTCCACCTTTATTATATCCAATTGAGCCGAAACTGAACCCCGAAACGCTTTTGAGCACACCTGCCGGAGTAAACTACCTTTCAACATCTTTCAACCCATTATTGAAAAGTGTTCATGAAGGCTGACCGCCAATGTTGAACTCATTGGGATGGCCATGGAGGGAAAGTCTCTTTGCACACAGTTTGCTCTGCTATGTTTTTGCTGTCAAGGGGGTCACCTTTGGCAAAAGGCATCCACAGTTACCAGATACCAAGCTGAGTGTCTTGTATTCTGACTGTATTCCAGTTTCCCCATTGTTTCCATGTTCCCTCCTAGGCTCAATGCTTTGGAATTTAGCCCGCGAGAAGCATGTTTGTTCTGCTCAAAGCTTGAAAAATATATGGGTCATCTTGGATCGGCATTGAGGTACTGGACCCTCATTAATCCACTTTGGGATTTACAGCCTGTTGATCTCTTGGGTCTGTGGGCGCATTTGCTGAACTGGCTGTGTCTTTTGCTCAGTTCCCTGGACCCAGATGGCAGGGTGGAGTTGATCCTTGATCAATGGACGTATGAAATATGGAGACATATGAAGACACATCCGGCTCACGGCACACATCATGGTCATCAGATGTCATCAGGATAGCCTGTAGCCATACATTGACACTTTTGCTCAACCTTTTCTTGCCTTAGAAGGCTTAGATCAACTATCACCGTATCACCCGTAGAAGATTGATAATACAGAGGGGAGGAACAACAACGAAGTGATGGAGACAAGAGTTGGAACGATGTTGATCAGTTATTGATATGGGGCTTGGATGTGAGTGACATTTAGAATAGCCCGTGTAATCTTGGGCATGGATACTATTGAAGATACAAAGTCAAAGATTTGGAATGTTTTCCCAAACCGTCACCATACAATCACAGCACCAGATTTTCGGATCTCGAACTGGGCCTGTAGGGAACCGACTGCTCAACATGATCCACTGCTTGGATCTTCCGGGTAGTTTATGGTAATTTTGCGCACATGGAAAATATATCTCACCTGAAGGACCTGAAGTGATTAAGCCCAGTGGAATCCAGTCGACAAATATGACTCGGCATCCAAACCATACACACATGTGGGCCAATCCTTGCAAGATCGAATGCATTCGATGTCATTCCAAGCTCAGACCCTGAGGCTTTTTTGCGGCCCGCATTCCATGGTCCTTCAAGAACTTCATTTGGGGTTTGCTGCTAGTCCTGAAAGGGAATTGGGGACGGCCTCAACATGTCCAGACTGTCACTGTATCATGCTGTGTTGCGCAAGTGTTTCAAAGATTTCTGCCATCTGATCGCCAAACCGCGTGCAGAGGGCTTTGCAGTACCCGAATCTCAAGGGTGAAGTAAAGTCTTGTCGACATTGCCAAAAACCATAGTTTGCAAATTGTTTTCCATGTTTATTGCAGTGCCCTGCAAGCACAAACAGTCTCAGACGTGCGGACAGCATGTTGTGATGGTGTCACACGTGCAGAGAGCTGATTGTCATGTTGGATCAACCTATCGTTTGGAGGGTCTTCCTTCTTACCTACCTCGGCTGGACTTTGATTCACTTCTTCGCGCAAATTGGTACCCCTCGTGGCTGCGAACTCTATATCGATCCGGATACCTTGCTGCAAAGAGGGGTTGGATCTCACATGGTCGCTAGAAAATGCTAGAAGCACATGCATGACCTCTAATCTAAGTGTGCAAAAAGGTGACCCACAGCACAGATGGAAGTGGTCTTTCTGTGAAGGTCATTACAGGCAAGCATGCAAGCCACAATGAAATAAGATTTCGAAGCGGGATTTGCAGAAAATTAATCACATGTACGGAACATCCTGTGCTACATCAGCAGCTGGCGATGATATTACTGAAACCCAGGTGGCCATCAGGTGGCCCACGGGAATTCCGTTAATTACTTACTTAAATGATACATAACAAAACCAAGATTTGAATGACAGCCAATTGGGAGGAATCCCAGAATGGAACGTGACATGCCGATAATATAGCCAATTCTTCCAATGTTCTCCGTGTCATTTGGTTTCAATGTTATCGGTACAGACATTCCGGGCACACATCCGAGATGCCATCAACGCTGTCAGGAGTGCCCCATCTATGACGCGTTTGATTGGAATATGCCGATGATGACCACAATCATTACCATTTTTGCCTTGGTGGGATATGCCGTGCTCGCAGGACTCTACACGGCCTTCGCGCCTTTGAAGAAATATGTTGGGTGAGATTTGCGGTGAGAGTGTAAGCAAAATACAGATGGAACAATGCAAAGGCATCAAGCGTATCGAAAAACAGCTGCAACGAGAGCCCATCCTCAGAATGACAAGTTGCATGGCCTTCAATGTAGTTGTCTCTATATTAGCAATGCCATGGGGTGACTCTTTGGAAGTAAAAGGCCCCTACAAATCATTCCATCGCATCATCTCTGCTGGCTGCGTCCGAGGTCCGTTGCCGCAAATGCTGCTTCCCCACGCCCGTGGGAGAAGTGGAAACCAAAGATGGACCTCAGAACATTGAGACGATTGAGAACGCTGCCTAGGATGGGATGGGATAGGCACTTCTTCAGCCACCCAAAAATCCTGGATGATCATTGTGGGGCCGATGCTTGTGGCATGGCAATGGTGTGACACTATTTATTTATCCGTGGTGTTTCAAACACGTTCTTCCATGTTGAATCAAGTTTTTGCTGGTGTCTATCCCCCACTTGGGAAGATGTTCGCGGTGATGCGCATGTTTGAAATGGATTGAACGTTTGAACCATCGCATCATGCATGGGTTCTTTCTGTGTTTGTTGCTATTTGAAATTGACTGTCTACGTTTAGTTTGCGAGGATGATCTTCCCCTGCAAGAGCTGGCATGACATGCAGTGACCCATCCCTTCCAGAACTTTCGGCCACCGGTCACCTAAAGGTCGTCGGATGTCATTATTATATAGACATATTTAGACATGAAGACGATGCAGCCCCGAAACATACTAAAACTGTATAAACATGTTAAGTGTCCAGGTTCTTGGGGCTGCTTGGGGCCCTTATCCATGTCAGAATCCCAGAATCCATGTTGACACTTCAAAACTAGTGTCGGCACATGATGCTTTAATCGTGACATCACTCCACTCTGTTTTCAAAAGCCTTTGGGATTCACAATGCTCTCACTGCCAACCCCAAGAGCATGTGAGTTTCGCAGGTTGGCTCCTGTGTGCTGGGCCCATGGGGCCCATGGCTGCTCCCAGTGATGATTGCTTTTGGCAATCCAGCGGGAACCAAGCGGCAATTCTGCTTAGCAGAGATGCACTGCTGCACATTTTTGTATACTGTAATTAATTCCTGAAGACGTGGGCTGTATCATGATTGTATCATTCAGAGAGGGGAGGAAGTGTGGGGTGCGACAAGCCAAGAGAATGGCGGGGTTCTGTTGGGCCTTCAAAATGTTGCTAGTTGAGGAGTTGAGGCCGGAACATGATATCATCCACCCCGATCTTCGGGAAAATTACCATTTTGCCATTGGGGTGGCTGGTCGCAATCTGAAGAAAACAGTGGACCGGCCCGGCCCAGCGACTTCGTGATGCTGTCTTTCCTGCAGCAGAAACCTTCCAAATCAAAGCTTTGGGCTCAAAAATGAGTTGCCTCAAGCTGTTTTTCTTGTCGGCCCTGTGAGGCTGAAAATCAGTCAGCAACCGAGGGCTGATCCGGCTCCTGTGGGGTTGCTTTTACACCTCTCGGGGTTTGCATCAAAACAGATGCGCTTCGGGCACCTCAGCGAAGGAGGAGAAAAGATGAGCAGTTGCTTTGGCATGCTTCAGCTTCCCCTATCCAAGTCTATCTTTATATCATCATCATCATCATCCTCCTTCTCCTCCTCCTCCTCATCATCATCATCATCACCATCACCATCGTCATCGTCATCGTCGTCGTCATCATCATCATCATCCTCCGCATCCTCATCATCATCATCATCATCATCATCATCATCATCCTCATCATCCTCATCATCCTCCTCATCATCATCATCATCATCACCATCGTCATCATCGTCATCATCATCATCACCATCATATTCATCATCATCATCCTCATCATCCTCATCGTCCTCATCCTTATCCCCAACATATCATTATCATCATCATCATCATCAGCATCATGAGCATCATCATCATCATCATCATCATCATCATCATCATCAGCATCGTCATTGTCATTGTCATTGTCGACGTCCTCACCACCATCATCCTCATCATCATATCACCATCATCCTCATCATACTCATCATCATGATCATCATCATCAGCATCATCATCCTCATCTCCATCCTCAACATTACCATCATGATTATTACCAAGACCATCATCATCATCACCATCATCATTCTCCTCATCCTTATCATCATGATTTTCACCACCATCATCATCATCATTATCATCATCATCATCATCATTACCATCGTCCTCATCATCCTTATCATCCTCACCATCATCACCATCATCACCATCATCCTCATCATCCTCATTATCCTCATTCTTATTGTCTTCGTCACCGTCATCATCATCACCATCATCATCACCATCATCATCATCATTGCCATCATCATCATCATCATCATCATCATCATCATCATCCTCGTCCTCCTCATCATCCTCCCCCTTGCTCATCACAATCACCATCACCATCACCATCATCATCATCATCATCGTCATCATCATCATCATCATCGTCATCATCATCATCATCATCATGGAGCACCATTCCCCTTGTGACATTACTGGCTTTGCTCGGACATTCCCGTTCTTCTGGAGCCTTTTTGGATCCGTGATCCAATCCCCAGCAGGCGATCAGGACCGAGACATAAATCCCTGCCATGACTGGCTGCTGCAACGTCTTCAAGGTTGAGCTCCGTTGGCCCGAGCAGGCTCCCTTGGGCATGGCCACACTGTTGGTTCAGGAATGTTCAGGAGAAGTCGTGATAATATGAACAAGGGAGAGAGATTTATGTCATTGCGTAAAATTGCTGCCGCAATCCAATGTCTTCTTTAGGCAAAGAGGGAAATCGATCAAAATAAAGTTTGAATATGTCACTCCGTGACCAAGTGTCGAAAGCTGCTCAGAAAGTCTAGAATTTATAGATTACAGCAGACGTGCAATTTCTTCGACATAAGATTCAATATAATTAAGCAATGTTAAACATGAGATTCGACTCAGGCAGTTCTTGGGCGGTGGGTGGAATGAGACTCACTGCCGCCCTTGCTCATTGGTCGAAGAATCACATCCGTATGATTGAACGTACTTTGCACATCTATGCACTAGATCTCCAATTCCAATCAAAGCAATGACAAAGTCCATGGGCAAAAAAAAGATGCGGAAGATTTCCCAATGCAACACTGTCAGATTTCTATATGCAAAGGTAGAGACCAAAGAATCGACGAGTTTTTTCACAAAAACTATAGTTTTTCTTGGCTTAAGGCCCTCTTGCTTTAGCAAGGTATTAGCAGGGGCTGCAATCGCCAATCGCATGAAACTTCACAATTAAGTATCCCCCCCGGCTTTTCCACCACCAGTTCTGCTTTGGCTCAAATCCCCAGTGCGGACATCGTCCCCGTATCGTCGTCAGCATCACCATCCCAGCTCGCTTTCGTCTCTTACCCTTCGGCCTCAAGTTGGCCTGGCCAGATGGTTTTGGAACGCATTGATGGCAAAATTTCAAAAAGAGATGTATCGTTGAACAACTATCAGACTCGGGAAAGAGGTGATAAAAACCAGGAAGGTACACCAGACTGATCAGGTGTGGTTTCACCAACAATTGCTGCAATGGTGCTCGTGCACCCTGCGTTAGTCTACATAAATTGTTAAGTTAATTATAGTTAATTAATCAAATCGTTGAATGACCAGGTCCTACCTGGAGAGCCTTATAGCCTCCACACTTGACTCTCCAGTCGAATAAAGTGTGGTTTTCCCCAACAGATTATGGGAGAAGCCGGTTTAAGGGGGATATTCTCAGGGGTTTCTGATGCCGTCGATGACCGACAGAACCCACTGGAGATGATCATGAAAGTATCTAATAACGAAAGTGGGCCACGGTGCAACCCTTGGGCTGCAATACTTGGGGAGTCTAAGTAAGAAAGAAAAGGTTTGAGGTTTACCATCTGTTGCACACACAAGCGCACACACGCACACACCTACATTTTGACAGTTGGATCTTACTCACTGTGACGCATTTCTTTGATATTAGACTTGTTCCATGGGATCTTGGCCCCAACTTTCAACTACAGTATAAGGGGTGCAACCCAGTCCCCTGTGGGCTGCAGCGCGCAGATAGCAACGTCGAATTGGTTCCCACCACTGGTCTACGCGATCTTCAACGGGCTCCTTGCGATTGTTTTTGTCGTATTTCTGATCATGAATCTCTCCGAGAGCATCCCAGCACTTCGTCTTATTTAAACTAGCAGGTGCTGCCCTTTTCTTTTGCAATGAGGCTAGGAAGGACCCACTGGTCATAGTGACAATTGACCGCTCAACAGCTCGGTGGATTGCCATGCAGACCCCAATCATCACTGCTCCCAAACCTTGCTAATATTTTCAGGACATTGGCGCATTCTGGCTCATTTACCTGACAAATTGGGCATTGATCGTGGAAACGATTGCTATGGTGATGCTTTGCATCTCCACCGCGTGGGGGTACGCCAAGTTGCCTGATGGCCCCTCGCAGGGAAAGGCTCCCCTCTTTGTTCGCTACACTGTGGCCTTGTGGTATATGATTCAGCCAACATCATTGAACCTCGGACGCAACAACTTAAAATGATCTTAAATGCAAATGAAGCAATGATTAACGAAGGGTTGTTCTTTCATGTTCTTTCTAGGTTTGTGTGAATTCCATTTCCTTATTTGTCCATTCAATTAGCATTGAAAGACTTTAACTTCATGTTTGCACTAACTGAGCAGGCTGTGCTGGACAATTTGTTTTCGATAGCTTCTGATAGGAGGGTGAGTTCTTTTGTATAGCAGTCGTTTGTTGCAGGTTCCAGCAATGCTAGGTGCTTGCTAGTCGGTCCTTGTTCCTTCATTCATGCAGCAATGCAGTTTCGCATTTGTATACTGAATAAGTCTGGGCAAACCTTAGTGAGGCCGTGGCAAAAGTGGCAACAAAAAAAACGGCAAGAGACCCCGAACAGTGTGGGGATAGTCAAAGGATAGTATATGATAAATGATAATGTTGATGATGATGATGAGGATGATTTGAGGATGATAATGATGATGATAATGATGATGATGATGGTGATGATGATGATGATGAGGATGTTAATGCGGAAGATGAAGGGGAGGATGATGAGGTTGAGGATGATGATGTCAAGGGAGAGAAAGATGATGATTTGATGTTGAGGAGGAGGAAGATGATAGTGTTGAGGACGATGATGTTGAGGAGGAAGACCGATCCCAAGACCGGGAAACACACTTTGTGCGAGCCTGAGCGGTCTAAAAGCATGTCCACATGTCACAAGAGACATCAGAAGAGCCGCTTTAGACGGAAATTTACAGGAAGAATGCCGCGGCCCAGATTGGGCCCAGAACTCAGACGAAGACTTTGTGCGAGCCTGGGCAGAGACATCAGAAGAGCAACTTTTTAACGGAAATTTACGGCAAAAATGCGGCGGCCCAGATTCGGCCCAGAACGCAGACGAAGACTTTGTGCGAGCCTGCGCAGTTGAAATGCATGTCCACATGTCACAAGAGACATCAGTAGAGCCACTTTATACGGAAATTTACAGGACAAATGCCGCGGCCTAGGTTGAGCCCAGAACGCAGACACACATTTTGAGCGAGCCTGCGCAGTCGAAACGCATGTCAAGATTTCACAAGAGCCACTTTATCTTGAAATTTACAGGTAAGATGCCGCAGACCAGAGTGAGCACCCTGATCAAGCACCGGCCTTTAACTTTACAGCTACCGTAAGAACCCCTCAGTGTGGACACACTGTTTGGGGACATATTTATATTTCAGTCATTCTCCTAGCATTCAGGTGTTGTCTCATTACATTCAGGTGTTAAGCTTGCCGTTTTCACTCAACAGCAAAGCAACTGCATGCACTTTTTCCTTGGATTTTTGCAACACAGTTTTGCTCTGGATTTTGCATTCTACTGTTCGAAAGCCTGACCAAAGTTGCACAATGTACATAAATGTAATGTTCAACCAAATTGGTGTTTTCTTTTAGGTTATATTGCACAAACAATTGGTACTTCCAGGCTCAAACTCCAACACTTGCAAACAATGACGCTTATTACGCAACATAAGCCGGTATCCGATAGAAAGATCGACTGATATGGTTATTCTCATGACCAAAAAATCTCAAATTCAAGCTTGGCTGAATTTGATCTTTACACGGAAAAGCGGTATGGGCAGCACACGGCTTCAAAGCATGTTCATGCAGGGCGGCATCCCGGCGTCCCGGCACCCGTGATGATACAACGCAACACAACCTTGCACTACCCTTTTGCGCAGCGAACAATACGGCGCAGTCGGCATTCCGTTAACCGTTAGTCAATCAAAATCAGACTTAGTAGCACATAATTCGGGTTCCTGCGGGTCCGTTTGCTTTTTATGTTCCTGCTGCTGTTTCTCCGGTAAAGATCAAAGACCTTTGGATTGGTGATTCTTCTGCCATTCAAATTGCGGTTACTTCGCGAACCAATTTGCAAACCCGTTCGCTTTGCACACTGCGTTTTTTTTGAAAATGGCCAGTGTGTATCCCAAGCTATCATTTTGCCAAAGCATTGTTTTGCCAAAATTGTATTTTTGCCAAAGAATGTCATTTTGCCAAAATATGGTGATGCCAAGAGCTTCTCGCACATTTCCCGGCACAGATCTGTGCATTGATTGATAGCATTGAAATTATTAGTATCCCTTTGCAGCATCTCAGGATCATCCTTCGTGGGTTCCACCAAGTCACTTCTCAAAGACGATGGTTCTACTGGAACCATCACCCCCTGTAAGTGGGCTAAGCGTCAGCTTGAGTCAGTGGATCTAAAGACCCCAAAAGCTAAATAAAGATCTATCCAAAGCTAAAAGGACGATGGTTCCGGTGGAACCATCACCCCAGGCTAAGATTGATATTTACGAAATGTTCGGGTAGCTAGTGGTAGCTATCACAGGGGACGACGGTTCCAGCGGGACCATCACCCCTGGAGATTGTGAAAAAACTGGGATTTGGGGACGACCCAGATTGTTATTTTGCGAACTTTTCGGCCTATCATTTTGCAAACAAATGGTGGCGAACTAATACTTGGCAAAACTCAGCTTTGATATTTTGGCATATCCATATTTTGGCAAAATGATATTTTGGCAAAATGATTCTGTGCCAAACTAGTACTTTGGCAACATGATATTTTAGGGATATATACACGCCGGCCGTTTTCCAAAAACGCAGTGTTCAAAGCGAACGGGTTTGCAAATTGGTTCGCGAAGTAACCGCAATTTGAATGGCAGAAGAATCACCAATCCAAAGGTCCTTGATCTTTACCGGAAAAACAGCAGCAGGAACATAAAAAGCAAACGGACCCGCAGGAACCCGAATTATGTGCTACTAAGTCTGATTTTGATTGACTAACGGTTAACGGAATGCCGACTGCACCGTATTGTTCGCTGCGCAAAAGGGTGGTGCAAGCTTGTGTTGCGTTGTATCATCACGGGTGCCGGGACGCCGGGATGCCGCCCTGCATGAACATGCTTTGAAGCCGTGTGCTGCCCATACCGCTTTTCCGTGTAAAGATCAGATTCAGCCAAGCTTGAATTTGAGATTTTTTGGTCATGAGAATAACCATATCAGTCGAGCTTTCTATCGGATATCGGTTTATGTTGCGTAATAAGCGTCATTGTTTGCAAGTGTTAGAGTTTGAGCCTGGAAGTTGCAGTAGCGAACAATCCAGCACCATCATTAAAGCACAGTTGTCCCAATTGTTGAACAGACACACAGTACCAACGGAAAAACAATCCATATCGGCGGCATCTATTTGATTGAACATTTTCATTTTACATAGTTCACCTGTGTTTAACCTTTTAATACAGCCGGAGTGCACGATCCAAAACATGACTGCGTGCAGTTGCCTGCTGCAGACATAACACCTGAAAGCAATGAGACAACACCTGAATGCTAGGAAACTGACTTATTTGTTTTATTTCATTCCCCTATTTCAGTGACCAGGGCTTCCATTAGAACTGGTGGAAACGGCCAGACATCCTGACATCAAACATTCAAAAGCTTTGGAAACATCTCGCACATTCTCGGCGATTAACTTGCTGACGTTTTCGTTGCAACCGTGGCCGATTCACCCAAAGCACAGACTGCGATCGAATTTTTCCCAGCTGTCAATGGGTAAGGCTCTGGAAAGGGGCGGAGAAGTGGCCAGAAGTGTGGCTTTTGTTAGTGTGAGAAACAAACCACTTGTGGGGGTCACTAAGTTCAAGGTGGTCAAACCCCAGCTAATCAGCTGAGGATTGTGGTGATTTTGCGTCTTGGCGTGAACGAGGTCGCAGGTGGCAAGGGGTCTTTGGGTTGGGTATGTTGGTGGAGCCGTTTGATATAAAGCGACAGGATGCAACAGGTTTATGGGAAAAGGGTATTGTAGCTCGAAAGTCAGATCCGGTGGGTTCCGCCAAAATCTATTATAAGTTGCTTTCCCTAGGTATGTGGTTCCCGCTTTATTATATCCAGTTGAGCCGAAACTGAACCCCGAAACGCTTTTGAGCACACCTGCCGGAGTAAACTACCTTTCAACATCTTTCAACCCATTATTGAAAAGTGTTCATGAAGGTTGACCGCTGTTGAACTCATTGGGATGGCCATGGAAGGAATTTGCTATGGTTTTTGCTGTCAAGGGGGTCACCTTTGGCAAAAGGCATCCACAGTTACCAGATACCAAGCTGAGTGTCATGTATTCTGACTGTATTCACTGTATTCCAGTTTCCCCATTGTTTCCATGTTCCCTCCTAGGCTCAATGCTTTGGAATTTAGCCCGCAAGAAGCATGTTTGTTCTGGGATTTTCTCGCATTTCCAGGACCTTAAAGCTTGAACAATATAGAGAACCCCAGGATCCAACCCCTCAGAATCCCTTGGATCATCTTGGATCGGCATCGAGGTACTGGACCCTCATTAATCCACTTTGGGATTTACAGCCTGTTGGGCTCTTGGGTCTGTGGGCGCATTTGCTGAACTGGCTGTGTCTTTTGCTCAGTTCCCTGGACCCAGATGGTGGGTGGAGTTGATCCTTGGTCAATGGACGTATGAAATATGGAGACATATGAAGACACATCCGGCTCACGGCACACATCATGGTCATCAGATGTCATCAGGATACACTGTAGCCATACATTGACACTTTTGCTCAACCTTTTCTTGCCTTAGAAGGCTTAGATCAACTATCACCCGTAGAAGATTGAAAATACATCGGGGAGGAACAACAACGAAGCGATGGAGACAAGAGCTGGAACGACGTTGATCAGTTATTGATCGAAGGAAGTTTAGAAGTCAAACTTCCGACAATATGGACAGATGAAAAGTAGAGATGGGAAGAGTCTCAGAAGAGAGAAGGTCAGAGAAGAGAAAGAGTCAGAAGAAAGAAGATGCAGATGCGCGAAAAGGTAGGAAAGTCGCGATTCACAGTGTTTTTCCAATGATTTGTGGCTCCGGAGGGTCGAAAAGTAGGCTCGCTAAAGCGGCGGGTGCGGAGCCATGTGGCCAGATGAGAGATGAAAAATTGCACGCCATTGTGGCGCGAAGCACATTTCGAAGTCAAAATGTTCAAGACACTAGGGGTTCGGACCACTTTTGGCAGTTGAGATGTCGAAAAAGTGAACGCCGTTGTGGCGCGAAGCACATTTCGAAGTCAAAATGTTCAAGACACTAGGGGTTCGGACCACTTTTGGCAGTTGAGATGTCGAAAAAGTGAACGCCGTTGTGGCGCGAAGCGCATTTCGAAGTCAACATGTACAAAACACTAGGGGTTCGTTCGGACCACTTTTGGAGGTTCAGATGACGCTTCGCTTCACTACACTACTACATGACACGACACTACACTCCACTACACGACATTACAGGACATTACACTACACTACACTCCGGGACACTACACTACACTACACTCCAGTACGCTCCACTACACAAAATTACACTTCACCACACTACATTACACCACACTACGCTCCACTACACTACACTACATCGCATTACACTACACTACACTCCACTACACTAGATTACACACTATACTACATTATCTTCCACTACACTTCACGACTTTACACTACACTACACTCCATTACACTACAACTACAACTAAAACTACACAACTAGACTCCACTACACTCCACTACACTCCACTACACCAAATTACACGACACTACACTACATTACACTACACTACACTACATTCTGCCACACTCCACTACACTACATTACACTACACTACACTACATTCCGCCACACTCCACTACACCACACTACATTACACTACACTACATTACACTGAATGACACTGCACCACAGAGGGGGAGAGAGAGAGGGGGAGAGAGAGAGAGGGAGAGGGAGAGAGAGAGAG